GGTGCATGCCATAATCATATGGTGACGATACATGCAGAGGAGAGAGAGGAGGTCCAGAATAACTATACGGTATGACATTTGGGCCCTCTTGCTGTTGCGGGCTCTCGAGTGTGGACATGGACGGCGAGGGGAGGTTCACAGAGGCTGGAGAGCTGTGGGGGCTTGGTTTCGAAGGTTGTGGGGTGGAGAAGGCACCTTGATAACTCAAGCTTGGACCTGCAAGTCCTTCGCTCTCGTCGTGGCCTCGCTTACGAGATGTAGACCTGTTGCGTTGGGCTGTAGTCCGTCATGTCAGCCAAAGGCATCAGACAGCTTATGCCTGCTTACATTCAACACGATAGGGAGGTGAAGTCATCGGGCGTCGAGTAGAAACAGGATCTCGGGATCTGCTGATCTTGCGTGGTTTGCTCTTGATAGGCCTATTGACCGTCGGAATTTGGCCAGGTGACGACACAAGCGATCGCCTTCGTTCAAGCATAGCAGGTGCGACAGGTGGTGGCATGGGCATCATCTGAGCCTGCCTAGTATCGCCATTGTCTTTCCTGATCGCTTCCTCCGCGGTGTTTGTCAACTCCGCGAGAAGCTCCTTGCATTTGCGAGCCCCGGGCCAATGTCCTTCCCAGGACTCGAGTGCCGTCAAACAACTCTTGGCCTCATCCATAGCAGCAGCAGCAGCTCTAGCGTCAGTGCAGTGCATGGCATAAAGAAGGACAATGACAGCGGAGCTGAAAAGATGCTGGATGAAGAAGGCAAGGTGATGCGATGGTGGAACGACATTGCTGATAGATGGTGCTAGTCGTATGCAGGAGCGGGCAGATGAAACAGCCCTGGCAGTGGACTTGGGTAGTATAGGCTGGTCACGCTTGACAGGCAAAAAATTGCGATGTAGCGTGGTCAGTACGGAATAATAATGACTGCAAAGTACTGCGCCCATGGAGACGTGTTTGTCTGTGACCGCCTCGTTCCGGAACGTCGGAGGAAGATCGTCGCACCACTTGTTTAGCTCCTCGTCGAGCTCCTCTACAGAACCCTGGAGTTCTGAGCGTCTCTCTTGATCGAGCACATCTTTACACTTATCGATAGCATAGACCTGCCGCAGAACCCGTCCCGCAATTTGGTACAGGGTTGTCAAAGCGATAGCGCCAGTCATGAGCGACGGATATTTTTGCGGGAGGGTAACTCCAGAAAAATAATCTGCTAAGTTCTCATCGTCGACCGCAACAGGTATCTCGACATCACAGTCAGAGTCTTCGATACCAAGTGGACGGCCGAGAGCGAGAGCAAGCATGCGATCCAAGCAGTACACGCTCCACCATATTTTTCGGCGTGTTTCTTTGTCAGTGGTGGAGATCGCGAGACGGCGCGGGGATCGCTACAGCAAGAATTAATTAATCAACTCGGACAGCAAAAATGAGCGGTGCTTACGTGTAAACCCAAGTCTTGAGCAGTTCGCACTGCTTGTCCCACGAGTAGCCAGGCCTGCGGAAGACAGTTGACCGAACACAGGAACGAAGACATGAGAATGAAACACTGGACGTGAGACACCTGAATAGATGCGTGACTGATATAGTGCAATATAAGAGCTCTAGCGGGGTTTATCGTTAGGGAGAGCGTCAAGTTTCCATGACGGCCAGAGGCGTACCTCTCATAGTAAATCATCCCCGTGCCGCCATCATCTGGATTTTCGCAAGTCAGACGGGGATCGTTGACTAGGTGTGCCGCACAGGCGAACACTGCGAAGACCACGGAGATAAACGAAGCTTCTGCTTGAATAAAATCAATGTCGTCACGCTTAGCCATTAATTGTTTGTATCTCGGCATGAACGAGGGTTTATCGAGAATAGGCATCAGAAAATGAAGACGCTCGAAATAGGTTTCCACCTTGATGCGATGTGGTTAGATAGGACCGATAAACCAAGAATATGTACTTACCAGCTTATCGCAGAGGTCCTCGTCCGGGTATTCGACCTCTTCTGGGCCTGGGAGAGCATGAACCTTCCCAAAGAAGACAGAGGCTGGGAAATAAAGTTTATTTACACTAGGGCCAGGCGCGCGTGGGTCTTCTTCCATTGGGGAGACTCGATGGAGCGGAGATGTCGTGAGAGTACGGAATGATTGTATGAGAGACATTGTGGAAGAGCCACCTATCCAGCGCATGTGGCCGTGCTCGTCTAGTGCAAGCTGTCCGAGACTTTCGGAGACATCATCTTCCACTTTGATTGAGGAGGATTCTGGGGTAGAGACGTTGCTGCGAGTGTCTGCAACAGCCTTGGATGACAATGCTTGGAGCACAGTAGAAGCCGGAAAGCCTTCACTGCCTCCAATTGAGGTTCCAGCAACCCCAGGCAAATTCAAGGATGGACCCAGTTGTTCAAGCACAGGGGTAATCTGAGAGAACAGCGACTCCATATGCAAGAGACGCGCTTCAAGTTCCTGGACATAGCTATTAAGACGATGAGTTCAAGGGAGGAATTGACGATATAGGAATATCTACTGTCTGCTTAAAGCCGCTCTGTCCTTTGTCTGAAGCCAAGTGCACTGCGATCCAGACGACTGGCACTGAGAGCAAGTGGGCTCACAACCGTCACACTTGATTTTCTTACGTCTGCGATCGGCGCGATTAGTTCTTGTTGGGGAATAGATATGAGAATGTAGAGCTCGATCGACTTGCCTACAACTTTCACATGCCCTCCAGACTCTGCGCCGCTGAAGCTGTATTGGTTTTGCGCCAGCATCGGTGGGAAGAGGATCATCCTCGATGCGTTTCTTCTTTGATTGGTGTGTCATTGAGTAAAAATCGTCGTGATGTACCATACGCTCAGGAGAAGCGTGGTGGTGGTGTACTGCCAGCAATTGCCCTTGTGGTCGGACGGCCGCAAGATATCTTCGGAAGGTGGTAGACGGGTCGGGCCGATGCCACGGATGACTAAGTTGATTCATACTAGGCTGTGCTGCTAGGACGGCCGAAGCACAATGACTTCGTTGCAGTGTATACGTCAGACTGAAACGAGGACTCACCGTGGAGGCTTGCACACAAGACAAGACACAGGTCGGGAGTAGGTTCGGAGCGGAATTCTTGGCTACTACTCTGATGAGGCTTGGTTCTCTTTATACATCCTGTTCTCGGAAATGAAGAATCGAGTCAGAAAGTTTTCCTGTGGACCGACCACATCCATAACTTTCTCCCAAGTCTTCTCGGGACGTCTTTGAACCCGAATCCGTTGGAGACGGCACGCTTAATAGCACTAATTTGAGTTGAGTTTATTCATTATGTCTATACGTTTCCGAGCGAGTAAAGGCATTGCTCAACTTACTAATTGACTGTTAATCGATGACACAGGACTTCTTACAGCTCTTGAACATTTCTTGGGGTTCAAGTTCTTATCCTCCGATCGTCTCATTACGGGTGAAAACCTTTGGAAACTTGAAATGGAATCATTTCCAGCAATTCTGTGCCTCGTATGTTATAATTCCATCTCGCATCCGGCAACATATCTCGGTTATGGACCTGATCCATATTCAAACGCTCTCAGGTCCATTAAGGTACCATGCAGGACCATGTTGCGCCATGCAATTATGACATGTTCTAGCGCAAGTAATGTCTCTTCGGGATAAATTTTCTTCTGGAAGAGCTCGTCAGTGGTCCGGAAAGTAATTCTCCCCGAGAACAAACATCATTATTCAATTGTCTATGGTAAATGATCGACTATACGTGACGTGAGGAGCAATGGAAGGGGACGAAGTACAAGAATGATGGGCTAACCCATTCTCGTTGCGTACGTCTAAAGTTTAATATTTTCTGCTCTTCACAATCTGGTTTCTAGGCAGAATTCTGTCATACCCTATACGTTCGTCCTCTACAGATTTTCTCCCGAATATCTGGCTCGACAGGGTTGAGAGTGGATTCGATATTGCGTCCACTCTTCCTCGAAAATGTCACACATTCCAGGCTTTCGGATAATATTCAATATAAATATAAGGTCGTCCTGGACCAGTTACAACTACAGCACTATGCCAAACAACACTTTTCATAAGTGCGACTCGCCGCATACTTCCGAAACTACGGTCGCATTTGAGGTTTACGCTCGCCTCTTACATTTGACTAGAGCTTCTAGCCAGCGTTCGCCTTAGCTGTCGGAGCCGGAACTTCCTCAGAATCTGTGAAGAGCACATCCGCCTATAGTTCGGACAAATGTTGAGATACGTGATTGGACCCCAGCTGTGGTATCGTCGCCTCAGGTGATCACACTATGCTTCTGCTACTCCATCCTTCTCGACTATTTGAGTTCACCGATCAATTCGACGTAAGATCTTAGCCTCGCAGACGTGGCTTGTTAGTCAAGGTCTGCTTGCTATCGCTACATGCTGTGAATTCTACTGCAAGTGTATTCGTACGACATCTCGACCCTTCACTTACCATATTCGGTATCTTCAACATTGTTCTTGGCTCGTCTTGCCAACCACGTGCAACATATGACTTGACGCTGTGCAACCATGTGCATGTGGAGACACAACTCATCTGTTGTCAAGTCTTAACGAGACCGGTGTCCCCGAGCCTATCGTGGGTGCAATATTGAATCTTGATGTGCCTTCTCAACTCGAGCCAGCGCCTGTTAGGCTTCCAATTTCACGCTCGCATATACCTTCACATCATGATCGACTTGCATTCTGCCCTGTCAAGCTTCGACTTCGCAACGAACGTGAACGTGCTCCTATGTGCTCACATGCCGTGAACCATGCAATCTCGATTTACTACTTTACGAGTGTTCAAAGTCGCTTACACATTGGATACCCGAGCAATTCGTCTGGTCGACAGCATACACGTTAATAGCTTTTGTGCATAGAGCCTTTCAAGTTTGAGGCTTTTGTTCAGCGTCAACGGACTCATGAAATAAGGAACATTGTGGAGTTGCTCGTGTCATGGGGGATCTGCAACACGTTATTGCTGATTTCCGATCACTTACTAGTACAAGTCAGTCACTCCATCAGAAGAAGGATTACTACAAAAACTCTTCCATTCTGATTCCAGTGTACAATCCTATCTGTGGAGACTGTCAGGACCTCGTTTTAATTATAGTATATACTACATACTATATACGACCAGTTCGACTGCGGAAGGAAGCAGACAGACCCGGAAGGAGTCAAACGAACCAGATACGCACCATGTACATACTTACCTGCCTTTCACAAGGTCCCCGTCGAGTCACCGTAATCCAATATATCTGAAATGGTCCCCATGGCGTGCCGCATCTTTAAAGTTAAACCAGCGCAGGGTTGGGACATGCCATAAACTTTTGGCCAGACTCCCGATACTGTCGTATGCAGTTGAGCTTACCTCAACATCCCGGTTACAACTCCAAACTGCCCAAAAGAGCGGTGCTTCCAATTGGACACCTCCCAATTCCATATGGACATGAGGTAATAGTTAAACCACTGGCAGTGCTGCAACCTGCCGAATGGCATGTCATGCCCGAATGTTGCACGAGGCGCAGCTATCCGACGGTGACTCGGTTGCGACGTCACGAATTCAGTCGGCGTATACTGCGATCCAATCTGATATTCATTAAGGGGTTTATGAGAATCGTGCACGAGGAACCCTTCCCGACTCGTCCCGTCGTCCTGCGGAAACTTTTAAACAATGTAGCTGTCCCACACAAAGAGAATGGAAGGTGATAAAATAATTTATTTTGATAGAAAAAAAATTCATATCGACAACATCAATGGCAGACAAGGCACTCACAAATTTGATCACCCTGGGCTTGCGTCATCATGTACATATCACCCGTAGGACGAGGCAACGTGTCTCCTGTGTGAAAATATCAATATCTCACATCAATGACAGAGACGTTCATGTGTAGCATCGCATCTTAGAAAGTATTTGAGTAGAAAGTTCATCTCGTGGGCGCATGACGCTCATAAAGCAGGCAGAGCGCCACCTCAAACGGATTCTAAACTGACTGGAGAAGATGAGGATAATATAGCTTCCTTGCAGAGCCTACCCACATAAAGAGATGCCATATCGCTCACCTTACGTGGTAAAGTAATGACAGTGAATCGCGATAAGCCATGCAGGTACCCCAAGGACGAGAACTTTAATCTATGACAAGACATGTGAGAGGCGCAGGACACGTAGCTGCGGTGGGGGAACAGCATCGAGCGAGGCGGTAGCTGCCTTAACGCTAATGCACGCCATCAGAGCGAGGTATCTTCGTGGCATTGCACCGGGATGCACGGCTCGCTTTCCAGACTGCCTGAAACATTCGATCTCATCGCCTGAAGAATTATTTCTTCATGTAGAGGTATATGGGGCGCTGAAGGAAGTATAGTGAATCATCTCGGCTTTTGCGTGGGCACCCCGGCCGCGAAAGTTTCAAAGAATCGGAGCAATAGTCACAGTGGGCACTAGCAATGGGAACAAGTGAGCATAAAGACTAATAATATGTGTACCACAAGAAAAACTCACGAGCGTCCACAAATGTATTTTGGGAATTGTAGTACAATTGAATACTCAAGTGCTTGGCTAGTAGTAGTTGGTACTATGGACCTCGGCAGGCATCAAATTTGTTTGCCCGTATTTGGCACGGCGTGTTAGTAGCCATGAAACTTTCGTCCTTGTCACAAGTACTATTGTCATGGCCGATATTGACGCGACGCAAACACCCACTACGGAGGGTGTGGACCCTATAATCGATGATGGCGACGAATTTGAATCAAAGGTTCGCTTCTTCATCTCTTAAACCTCATCGTTTTAGAATTTGTGCACTAGGAAATTCAGCTCATGAAGCAACGGGTCGAAGAAATGGAACGCGAAGCAAAAAAATTGAGGGAGTTGCAGGCAGCTGCAGAGTCAGCAAATGGGGGATCTGCTGGCGAGGCGGACCAAGGTATTCCGATGGAGACTGAGGAAGACAAGTCCATCGCCGACGGCCGGAGCGTATTTGTTGGTAATGTGCGAGCGACTATCTGCGCTTTCTACCATGGTAATGACTTTGCTCATGCTGTTCTTTCTATCTAGGTGGACTATGGGGCAACCCCTGAAGAGATCCAAGCGCACTTCCAGGCTTGCGGGACGATCAATCGTGTAACTATTCTTTGTGACAAGTTTACCGGACACCCTAAAGGGTATGTAGGTTTTTTTGTAGCACTCAGTTCGTCTTATTTCTTCTCTCACAGGTTTGCCTACGTCGAATTCGCCGAGCTTGAACACATAGATGCAGCATTAGCTATGGATAATTCCCTATTCCGCGGACGATTAATAAAAGTGCTTGTGACGCTTTCTGAGCATCATTATGCCATCTAATTAACACATTTACAGGTAACTACAAAGCGGACTAATGTTCCTGGGTTCAACCGGGGGAGAGGGCGGGGAGGTGGTTACCGCGGTGGATATCGAGGTGGTCACCGTGGCGGGTACGGGTACAGCCCCTATAGAGCACGCGGCAGGTAAGCTTTCCACAATGCATCCATACATCAAGCTAAGTGAAGACTACAGAGGGCGCGGGCGCGGATACTAATTACAAAACTGAGGACCTTGACGCGCACAGCGCGTGCGCGGCCCTTCGTATCCTGTATGTCAGCTGTCCTCTGTCCCTGCGTGCACTTTGGAAATCAGGCTGTGCGACTTACGAATCGACGTTTGTTACGCTCTATATCTTGTTTTCTCGTTATGTATTATTTTCATACATACACTGCTTGCTCTACAATGCAATTGTCGATAATTACTATGCGGGACACTGGCTCGGCGTTTGCCGGCCATAGTCTATCACTTGAACAGAACTCGAATCACTTGCGCCTGTCACCATGTTCTCAAAATCATGTAGAACATTCATTAGGCATTTGTCGAGCAATACTGCGGCATATCCTTTCTCTAAAGCTGTCATACTTCCGCCGCCACCGCCAGAAATACCTGCTTCCCAGGTGGAGGCTTTGCGACAAGGGAAGGGCATAATGGCTTATTTGCAAAAAAATCTCCCGCATCCTGCAAAACAAAAATGGCTTGCTACATGGTTTGCCAGAAGACATCCGGACCGACTTCTTCCTGGTTCGGTACTGTCAGTCAGCCTCGAGCATGCACCCACTACTTTCTCCGGGGTTCTGCTGTCCATACGACGGCGGGGCCCTGACACATCCTTTACCCTGCGGAATGTCATACAACGGACAGGCGTGGAGATGCAGTTCTTTGTGAACTCGCCACATGTGAAGGATATCAAAATTTTGCAGAGAGCTGGCGGCGGAGGTGGAAAGGAGGGAAGACGACAACGAAGGGCCAAATTATTCTTCCTCAGAGACGCGCCAGGGAAGATGACTGCTATCTCTGCGGGTGTGAAGGCCTGAACATGGTAGGTATGTTACAATCTCAGCTTGCTTCGTGGCTGATTTCCCCTGGTATTTCTAAATTTCAGTATTCACTCCTGCTCACCAGATTACCGTCTGGGAGATATGTCTACGAATTTGACTGTGGTTGGACCCTGTGCAAATTGCACATTGTCGCTCATTTTTCCCGATCAGAAAGGAAGTCCAGGCGGTGACCCATGGATACAGGATGGAGCAGACGGGTTGATGCTATTAATACTGAATTTCGTTGTATACACCGTTACATTAACTTGTTCTTTCATACCCGAACTTAGTATTTCATCAGTGGAGTTGTCACTTGAGCTGTGACTTTTTATTTCCGTGAGCAACGCCCATAACGTCTGGTACTGTATATTCAGTCAGGCGACGAAAGATATCAAGTTTGCCGCTAGCCGCCCAACGTTGCCCAATCGGGGAGCGTCGCATACTAAGGGGACTTCATTCTCAACCGCACTGCATCACGTACAGGCAGTTTGACTAGCCTCATTGTTCCAGCATGCCTCGAGAACATCGTTCCATGCGTAGCCTTACCATATCGCCGAAGCGCACGTCCTCTCCTGGTCCTCCCTCACCCACGTTTTCAGACGCGACACACGCTTCTGCAATGAATTTTGGTGCAGACGGTCCTGAGAAGATCATTACTCGGGCCAACCTCAAAGTTAGCTTGCAGTCTTATGACGATGTGCGTTCCTTCTCAACACGTCGTCGAAGTTCGGAAGAGTCTAATACATGATGGGTTTCTGCGCAGCTCATGAATGCAAGCGCAAATTATCGTGCTGCTTTACTCCATATGTCGAAAGTGACTTTTGCATTTGCAGATGCTTTGGAGAAATGTTCAGGGTATGCTAGACTGTCGATATTAAAAATGGGAAAATGGAGCTCATTCATCCAGTTTGAAGGGACCTACGTACGAAACAGGCACAAGACTACAGGCCGCCTCAGGACTTCATCATCTCATCGGTAACCATTGGCATGTCCTTGTACGAATTACCCTTGTTCTTCCTTACTTCAATTCTTACGCTTTTGAATAGGCGGAGACACTTGACAAGAGCTTCGAGAAACCATTGCGGCAACATTTGGACACATACCGAACGATCGTAAACGTACGCAGTTTCTCCGCAGCCTCATGTCGGACCCTTTCACATATCATTGTCACAGGAGCGCTCCGCATCGTATGAGAAGGCTCTTCGCGAAAAGAGTGAAATAATTCGCCAAACGGAGTTGAGTAACATGAATAAAAAGCAAAGAAGTGGGTCCCTTCTTCCGGTCTTCTCGGGTCTTGAGTGACGTCTGTACCTATTCAGACTTGCAAAGCTTCCGTGAAGCCCTTGCGGTCCTTCAGCGCCAAGTGGATGACCTGGATGGTCTCAAGGCACAACATTACCAAGAAATAATGGAGCACGAGGAAGAAGTCTGGGACGTGGTACAAGGCAAGGTATGCGTATTGACAAATCATCACACCTTCGTAAAATGCTGACCTATTCGCCTCCAGGTCTGCGTAGCCGTTCGCTCGACTATGGATGTGTTTGACAGGTTCACAAATAAGGCGTGAGTCATTAAAACCCTGAAATTGACTATCACTCAAAGCCTATCCCCGCCTTGTAGATCGGATTCTATCTTGGAAGCGATGCTCCAGTCCGTTCCAGACCCTTTTGACTCGTATGGACCTCCACAGGCGGAGGACCAGATCTTCACCATTCTTCCTCCGCTGGCCGTAATGGCTAATGCACCCTCGCCCTCGCCGAGCCCATTAGCTATGACACCACCACCCCCAAATCCTGACGTACCTCCAGCGATCATTAATAATTCTTGGGCTCCAAATGGGGGCTTCTTTGCCACAACTTCGGAATGGGCTGATTCTGTCTCTCCTTCCTCAACTCCTACTCGGTCGGCATCACCCTCCAGCCAACTTAAGCGTCGTCAGTCGCATCCGCCGAGCACTACACATCACGCACGGAAGGCGGAGTCTAAACTTCGGAGTGTTCTTTCAGTAATTGACGAGACACACGTTCGTCATTCGAGTGACCCTATCGATGCACCTCCTTCAGAATGCCAGACTTCACCGCCGGATATACATGGAGGGACTCTCGAACCTGATACGAGTTGGGAGTCATTTACTTATGGCGCATCACCATATACTTCCATTACGGATGATGCCACTCCAGTTCAGTCCACGTTAGTCGATTCGACGATAAAACATTCTACTCAGAGTGACGTTGGGGAATCTGACCTCAGTCACATTTCCCACCCACAGTCAGATGAAACACCACAATTCACACATGTTTAGTAATTGCGTATTATAATTTTTATTGCTTGTGTTTACGATAAGATATGATCGTTTATGTAGTGCACAAGCAGCTGACGAGGACATTGATACCTTTTTCACGGATGTGGTCGTTAGTTATGGTAATCATCTGATTAGATTCTCCGAAAAGCACCGGGACATGCCTCAACATCGTGTGGGTCGGACACCATATTGATATAGCACCTCTTCGTTGATGGCCGCCGGACTCCTGAAAAGTGGATCTGTGCCTGCGCCAGTTTTTGGGAAAGCGATGACATCTCGGATGGTTGACGTCCTGCAAAGGATAGCCATCAGGCGATCAAAACCTAGATCGGAGCTTTTTGTCAGCTTTTAGTGCGTACGTTACAATAAATTTGATTGGTCTACCGAGAGCAATTCCGCCATGAGGGGGTGCACCGCATTTGAGAGCATGTAATAGATGATCAAACGACGACTTCTCGGCATCACTCAGCTAAAAAAAAATACATGAGTCGGGACAAAGTATAACACGCCACAGGGGCGAGACAGAGAACCGAACCTGTAAAACCTGGGAAAAGATGTACTCTTGCATCGCAGCATCGTGTACCCTAACCGAGCCTCCACCAATCTCAACGCCATTCAGAACTAGGTCGTAATGTTGTCCCCGAACCTGAAAGTAAGGTTGAGACTAAGGATAAGCTCCTGGCACGAAGGACTCTGTCAAAACGGATTAGCACGAACCTGATCGATACGGCCTGCGTACATGGCTTCTATATCTTGCCACATCGGCGCTGTGAAAGGGTGATGTGTGCTGCTCCATCGCCCACGAGCCAAAAACTCCTTGTCAGGATCGGCGCGAGTGAATAGTGGAAACTCGGTAACCCATAGGAAGTGAGGAATCGTGGGAGGTACGTAATCACCTACGAATGGCATGAATGCCTCTCCGCTACAATAGTAGACAGCACATACCGCGGGCATATGCCAACTCAGATATTCGTGTTCGGAGGCGACCCAGAGCAGTGGACCCGCCCTATCCACATGTAAACATAACTTGGAAGCACCGGAGATAGTAGAGGCACACCTCGGGGATTTTGCGACGACGAGATAGCCATATGGTATCGCCGCTACTGACTCCTAACGTCTTATTCAAAAGGGCATGCTCCTCGCTGCTCAGCCTCAGATTGATAGACCGGTTATCACACAACCAATTTAACAAATTACTATCGGCGATCACAGAGCGGCTCTATAAACTGATCATGTGAAATTATCGATATTGATCAAGAGGTGATGACTGACGATATTTGGTTCGTTCTCGTAGTCGCATTCTTGACTTGCCCGTAAGAACGAGGAGTTCTCAGATGGACGAAGAATGATCGCCTCAAGAATGTCCCCGAGGTCTTCAAACGATGCACGAGCGTGAATTGGTAGCGAGGGCGTAATGTCCTGAATCTGGTATAGGCAGTGTAAGCATTATTCAGTGCACAAGCAGCCTACACAACCTCCAGATCGATCCGAGTGTCGGGTTTGTCTGAACCATACTAAACGATCATTAATATGACCAAATTACAATGTCCCTCGATCGGTGAATTGCTAGCTTACACGTGCCATTGCTTCGTTGTAGGTGATCACCCGGAACGAGCTCGGAAGTGTGATTTCTTCGACTTTCTGCCATATGCGTCGAACAAGCTTTTCGATTACGACGCGAACCTCGTGGCCTCCAATTCGCCATGTATTAGATGAGAAAATATTTGAATCCACACCCCACGAGACAAATGCCATTTCTAGGTCGATTTGCGTGAACTCGGGTTGTCTGTCCTTCCGACCATCTTCATCGCGGAAGCACTTGGCTATTTGAAAATACTTGTCAACAGCCCCAGAACAGATAAGCAGCTGTTTTGGCTGCTGTGGAGACTGCGGAAGAGCGTAGAATAGGGGGGTTTGTTTTCCATCATGCTGTGCAGATGATTGGCCGACGCGGGACGGAACCAAAAACTCTCTTGCACCTTCTGGCGTTGACTTCAAAAGCAGTGGAGTCTCCACTTCAAGAAAGCCTAGAAATGACTGTGATCTTAGGACATTTGACGGATATCAAGAGCACGCACCATCGTCATGCAGAGTATCGCGAATTATTCGAGAAACTTGGCTTCTTTTTCTGATATTGTCCGCAAGAGCAGTCCTGCGAAGATCAAGATATCGAAAACGTGCTCTAAGGTCTTCATTGACCTATTATTGATCTCATTAATAGTGGAAGAACTCCGCGTCACCCCGCATACCAATGTCTGATTGTCCGACGGTATGAATGGCATGTTACGATGCGCAGGATTGAGGAGAGTAAAGTTATTTACTTGGACCTCAATCTGTCCTGTGCCTTCCTTGATGATACTTTGGATGAGCGTCTAGAACGGTGACAGCTTGTGAGAAAAGAGGCTCCACTGACATTACGGCGAGATAGCTCTGGTCTTACGAGGACTTCACCCTCGATCGCAATGATCGACTCTACAGGAAGTTCGGACAACGCGGTCAGATGAGCATTCGCATGCCCCTTGCGTAAGACCAATTGGGTTGTTCCAGAAGAATCTTTGATGGGAAAGAAGGACATTGTCTTTGACACTTTGCTTTATTTAGAAAAAGTAAGCAAATTGAGAGGAGAACATATGTAAAAGGTAATCACCGCTCAGGGAGTAACCAACCAGTCAACGTGACGTGGATGCCAGCGTGCGCGGGAGTGAGCTCACCACACGTATGAGTCCGTTTTGGATATGGGGCTGTTAATGACACACGAGTTAGTATAACGTTGAAAATGGGAGAATCGCGTGAGGAACGCGTTATTTTGCTGACCAGAACAAGCCGAGCCTCGCGTATGAACGTGCCTCTTTGCATTCGATGATAATGGAGCAGTTCGAAAATAGTGCGACTTCGAGGAGGGTCTGAAATCTAAAACTTGTTTCGTGAATGGTGACACGATCGAAAGTCCTCTTAGACTGCGCATGATGCCAGTAACTACGGAATGTTAGCAATTAGTTCACGTTGGAGCTCACTGCGATGACTGTTTTATGCTAAGTTCGCGGATTATTACATAATTAACGGTAAAGATAATTTTCCGTGCTTATGCTTGCTGGCAGCCTGGCACCCACAACCTCGTTTCCCTTTATTTTTAAGTAATTTCAATCAAATCTAAGCTTACATCTCAATGTCATCCCGGGTCTCTATCCATGGACTTTCTCAGTCTAGATCTTACTAGTTCAATTCGCTTACATCCCTTTTCCCTTCACACGACGGCAATCACTCAAAAATAATATTTTATAGACATCCAGTGCCTGCGCGCCCGAGGCTCACCTTTATAAGAGGTCCCGCGTTCAGCTCGGGTTGTATCAAACACCCATGTCCGTGCACAGCCTACCAGTAGAGCTCCTCGATAGCATTGCGCAGCATCTTTCTTGCTCTTCTCTCGCTGCTCTTGCTCAAACATGCTCCACTCTCTGTCCAGTCGCACAACGCGTCCTCTACTGTAGTGTATCGGCTTCCGCCTGGTCGCAAAACTTATGTGTCATTGACACTCTTGCGAAGAAACCGCATATCGCGCGTTCCGTGCGGTCCTTTTACATCGCTATAGATTCGCTTGCTCCCGTCTTCTTCGCCTATTATCGCCAACTTGCTAAAGCAATTCTTAATATGTCAGAGTTAACCTCTCTCACTCTCCTCGTGGATTCGAGTGTGAGCTGGGTGTTGAAGGACGCCTCTAGTCGCATCCACTTCCCGCACTTGCTTCACTTCACCTGCTCCTTTTCTTTCGATGAAAACGTCGCCCGGTTCCTTGATAGGACACCGTCGCTTCTTGAGCTTGAGGTGGATTCTATCCCTACCGCGTTGACGCGAGAGTCCCCACCCCCTTACCTTGCTCCAACTTCTATTCCCCAACTGGAACAGTTCATTGGCTCATCCCGGACAGCCGAATTAATTGTTCCCGGCCGTCCAGTGAAGAGCATCCATCTGAACGGCGGTCTTTTGGAGGATGATATTCCTCTCCTTGCCCGCTCGACTGTTCCTGTAGTCATTCTGGGAGCTGTTACAAATTTACCTCCTGTGCCCTTCTTGGAAACACTGCACAGGCATGTGCCTCACTTAGTCTATTTACGAGTGATGTCAACCAAGGGCATCTTCATGGTTCCCACTGCCGTAAGTCGTCATGGTTTTTCATTTGCAGCGCTCAGGAACATTAATTTCCATGGTACAGGAATTTTATGAGCAGGTGGCCGGCATTCTGACGTCCTTCACAGAGCTCAGCGCATTCGAGCTCTCCGGGATGCACTGGGGCTCTGAGGCAAAGCAAAATGACGGCACAAAGAGGGTTTGGCAATCAGCGCCCCTTCAAATTAGGAACCATCCAGAGGATGACCTGCTTTTTGGTTCAGAAATATTCCTTGCGTATTGATCTACTTAGTCGTATAGTTCTAGAGCATAATATATCGCCAGCAGACTTATTTCCGTCACCCCAAAGTCAATTTACGTAGTAGTCTAACACATAGCATTTATTCCCAGTACATCCCTAATATGATACAGATGTCTAGTTGTCTAGCTCATTTCTTCGATCGCACGGTTAACAAATGATACAGCATCATAGCAAACGAGACACCCTTCACTCAGTTCTGATATGCTTGTTCCCCGCCCTCCAACGAACTTTGCGGCGAAGCCGACATAATTATGTCCACATTGTGGCAGTTCAAATTTCAAGAACTGCCATCCTCTCACAGGTTCTCCATCGACGGACACTTTCTCCTCCACAACATCATATTCTATCCTTCTGAAATCAAAGCCGAGGCCAATCCCGAGAGCCTTGGTATAAGCCTCTTTCAAGGTCCATATGCAGTAAAACCTGCGAATCGCCTCTTCCTCAGTGACATCAGCAAGAATTAAATTCTTTTCTCGAGTCGTGAGCTTTCGGTAATAAGGCGAGGGAATGAGTGCAGCCCGAAGATACGAAGCACGGACGTTTCACCTGACTGTCGACGATGTCAACGAATTCAGTAAAAGTAGTCCGCGGAGGAATTTTGAGTTTCATGACATCAACTCCTATGTTGAATGCCGGAGGTCCCAAGTCGCCCGTTCCAAACGCCATGGCGATGACGCCTTCATCATGAGTAACATTGAAAGCCAATGGAGGATCTACTCCAGGAGTTGTCTAGGGCAAAAGAATCAATACAAGATGAAGGTGAATTATCTTGCAAAGACATACACAGTATGGCTTCCCCGTATCAGTGGTTGCAAAAGTCATGTCATCTTTGTCCACGCCACGCTTCTGGAGCAAAACTCTGGGAAGAAGATTGCCAATGAGCGATCCTTGGATGAAAGATCAGGCGTCAGTGTGGGCAGTGCTAATATATAACCTGCTGAGTTGCATACGTACGACAAGCATCTTCGCGGCGATAAAACTTTGTGATCTTGCTCTGCGCTGTCTGATCCACTAGGGGCAATGCGGTATGATAAAGCTAATCGGACGTATGAGGTGATCAGAACGGTGACGTGAAATGCGACGTGAACGACATGGCACGCACGGAATCGGGGAATTCGAGCGGGTCGTATAAGACATTCCAAACTTGCATGAGTGGTATAGATTACTAGACACTTATCCAGTTGCAGACACCAATATCAGTGGAGACGCCGCGGTAACACCATGCCCGGAAGCAACCGGCAGGGTTAGCAACAGTAACACAGGCTTGCTGTGGGTTTAAATTTGTTTCATACTTCGTACTATTCCAGAGATGACGATTCAATTTGTGACCTTTGGGATGTTTATCATTGATGAATTTTCCTTTGCAGACGAGCAAGGGAAACCTACCGGAAAGACGGTAGCACCCCAGGGAAGCTAGTTACAGATTCAACTGCTGCTGATCCTCACATCATGTATCATAATAGATCGGAGGTGGAGGAACCTATGCTATTATCGGTGCTCGCATCTGGTCAGCATTAAAGGGTTGTGACTTGAATTTGTGAACATATCGATTTTATTGCAGGTTGCCTCCTGATACCCTTGGAATGATCATCGATCGAGGAAACGATTTCCCTCAGGACGTGCAGAATCGGTTGCTGACATACGGTTCCGACATATGGCACTTTCGTGACGACACAAATCGCCTTACTACTCGGTCAAGGAATTCGTACAAAGGACAATTTCGAGGGTTGCGTTGCTATTTCATACATCTATCGCCACCGTATCTAACATTCCCATATGACAACAGTTTTGAATACATCACTCCGCGGATCAGACTGACGCCTCGCGACTTGGAAAGAACGCGGCTTACACGTCCTGCTTCGGTTCATTTCATTTGTTCACCCACGCGCGCGCTTCAAATAGTATCAGAGATCCAAGAGGTTGAAGAATGGAACCCGACCACAATATTCGAACCCATACCTGTTCGTGCAACCTTCTGTCTCACAATTAATGATCGAATATAAAGCAGGATAGATGTATTCCCGAGGAGTTACCTTCGCTGAAAGCAGTCCTCCCACAAATCACAATCCTCAGGTAGGGAAAACAAAGTCGGCATCAGTGTCTTCTGCTCACGCGGAGTCCGGACACTAGTCCAAATGCTGAAGAGGCCCTGAGCCTGCTTTCTCTTCCGTTGATTGTTACGAAATCTGCTGTAGAAAATGCTGCATCAGAGTTTTTGAAGATGGGTGTGGGTAAAGAAAATAGTGGAAGCGTTATAATACGCAGTGGTGCCCTCGGTGCATACGTTATGACCTCTGACAAGAAAGGGCGATGGGTCGACGCATTCTGGAGTTCCGCTGAGGATATCGACAACTTGATGGTGGTCGATGTCACAGGTGATTCTTTGGGCAAATATTGCATGGCCGTGATCATACTGATAGAAAACTAGGTGCTGGCAACTCTTTTCTTGGCGGGTTCGCTGCGGCATTGTCCATCACAAACGGAAATGTCTATGAAGGTGAGTTAGCGTACTCATAATGTCGACGCACAGCTAATTAGGCCGTCGTTCACGCATTCTAGCAGCACTATATGCTTCGGTGTCAGCCTCTTTCACGGTTCAACAGCTTGGTCTTCCACACCTTACAGTGGGTTCCAATGGAGTGGAAGAATGGAACCAAGACTCTCCGCATAGACGCCTTGAAGCTCTGCGACAGCGACAAGACAGAGATATAAAATAAAAATCATTAGAAGTACTGATGTACAGCGTCCGATACAACAATAATACGAATTGCAGGTACCATGAGTGTCCGCTATCGGCTTCAATACCTAAGTTTCAGCAGATGGCTGTTGCTGCCCCTGCGGTTGAGCGAATCTTGCACGACTTGCAGCAAAAAGCTCTTCTTGCTTTGCCATAAGTTCCTCTGGCGTTAAACCCGAATCTTTTATCTTGTCTGCCTTCTTCTCCCGGTCCTGAAACGAATTCCATCATACGCTAGGGTGACAGTATGAACTTCACACACCTTTTGTTGCTGCTTGTGATCTTTCAAGACATCTTCAACTTCAGTTGTAAAGGAATCGAAGCCTAGCCGCTATAGCGAAGTCAGCGGAGGATAGAGATCAATCATAAACATACTTTCAGTGCCGCGATGATATGCTCCGGTGCTATTGTTTTCTTGGATTCTTGCTCACATATCTCGTTGGCCTCCGACGAGATCAAGTGAATAAATTCTACCAAATGTGAGCCCTAACGAGGCACATGAAGATCATTGACGATGTTCACCTACACAACACTCTATGACTAGATCTCGCGTCTCCTTCGCACATGTGACTTCAGCTGGTAGTAGTTCTGGGAGTCAGGTAACAGGGAGCGAATAACAGTTCAAGAGGTCGGAAAATGAACTACATGCTTCTGAGACATACCACTGATCATCTTTGCGACCGTTGCCTTCGGCAGCGAGAGATCTTCATCCGACGGTCCAGCTCCCGAGTGTCCTTCGCGGTCTGACATGGTTTGCACAAGTTAGTGGCACAAACGCGGCCAAAAGCGAATCAAAGCAATATGTCACAGGTTGTGTTTTATGTAGTGGTTTCTTTTTGCCTTTTTCGAAGTCCGAATTTACTTACATCTATCCTCAATCAACAACCAAGATGTCGTCGGTGCGTCAACAAGCTCATAGCCGGATGTCATGATATTAACCTACCCTAGGTCAATCCTGTTAATCCCAAGCCTTTCATGCAGGAGCTTACCGGAAAGCCGGTATTCGTAAAGCTAAAATGGGGGCTCGAGTACAAAGGATTCCTTGTCAGTACGGATGGGTATATGAACCTCCAGGTATGAACAACAAGTTCAATGCTTATTTCTGTGGATCTCTAATGTACTATACAGTTGGCTAACACGGAGGAATTCCAAGACGGGAAATCAAATGGTGCTCTGGGCGAAGTCTTCATCAGGTATGTATTTCATTGATCCATTGTTAATGCTTTTACCAGCTTTCCTGCAGGTGTAACAATGTACTGTACATCATGAGTATCATTTCTCCTATTCCAATTTTCTATACTTACATGTTTCGCGACTTTACAGGGAAGCTCCTCCAGAATGATCGATCATGCAGCGTTCGCTCAAAATATCTTTTCCGACGGCTCGAGGCCATTACTCTTGTTGTATCATAAAACTTTCGAGAGTTTACTCGATCGGAGTGGTTTGTATAGTGCTTGCATGATTTATCGCGATGCGTCAAAAACCTACATGATCGTTCTTCCTTGAACCTGCACTTGCAATGGAGGGCGTCTATATTTGAAAGACGATCTTGCATCATAATATGACTAATTACCTGCAGTGTTGGGGACTCGGGCTCAATTTTCAGACTGTCAGTGGCAGCGGTGGCGGGCTGATCCAGGTACTTTCTACGCTGGCAGTCATTCTTCAAAGGCAGCGCGAGTTGATGAACACGTTATCTTCGGACCATCCGATTTTTGGCATGAGTTTGGTACCCCACAACGAAAGATGTAATGCACGGCCACTATCTAACGGATATCATGGGTTGAGGCAGCTGCTTTGACGGTTTTTGCAAGTTCTCGAACTCAGAAAGAAAGATATGATTCTATGTGTCACGTGTGTCAGCCTGAAATTCCCCTCGTTTGCGAGCCATTTGTTTCCTTCCACATTGTCATCAACATGGCAAAATCAACTCGATCAAAAGTAAAGCGCTCGTTCAGAGCAAAAAAACGCGATGAAGGTGTATACGCAGCAACTGAGGCTGCACGTCTGCAGAGACTCAATTCTAAATTGATGGCGAAAATTGATCATGGAGATGAGGAATTAGCAGAACCGGTGGATGATGATACTGCGCAAGGTTCGTCGCATTTTCAAGCTTTACGATAATACTGGGAAGGCATCTACTCTTTTGTTTCGGTTTGTCTAATGCATAAGTCAGCCTCGCTTACACCTACCCTCACTAGATGATTCTACGGCACCAGGTCTATAAGCTCTCTGGACACAATCTTGAAATTCCGCTGACTGTTTTTTTAGATACCATGGAACTCGATGATTCCGCAAAATCATCAACTACAAAACCATCGCACGTCTCAACTCACGGTGCAAGGAACTCGCGAAGGGAGGAGTGGAGAAAATCAAAAGGCATGACGCCTGTACCGAAGGTAACGAGAATGAACCGCCAGGGACTACCAGCAGCGCGGCGGAGGTCTGGGCGCCCGTCACGTCGGCGATGATGCGTAGTCACTGGCGTACGACCCTATGAATGTCTTCTCATCAGGTTGCCTTCTTTATCGCTATGCCATCTGTATACCACCACATCCAAAAGTATTATACTTGCGATAACAAAACTCGAGGTCTATCTCCATACTATATCCGAGTCACAGTATATACTGAACAACTAAGGCGAATCAACCTATTTGATTACAGATATCTCTCCTACGTTTGCAAATTGCAACCTCGAACTGTGAAATCCAGGATAAAACGGTGATTAAAACCATTGTCCAGCGTCAACTCGAAAGGGCGAGTCGACAAAGCGGATATACCATGAAATCCGAGCGATTAAACACCTATCACCGTGAGGACTTCGAGTCTGACTCAGAGTCTACCGAAGTGAGGTCGCGCTCGTAATTGGCTCGTAAGGGGACTTCCTCCTGGCGGATTGTGGTGGGCTGGAACGCATTATAATTAGATCTTCTCAATTTGCTTTTTACCAAGTACATACCCGAACGAATCAACAGTGCCCATAGTGGCACGAATCCCCAGCGTCGTTGTCTTAGGACTGGGCAATGGCAAGAAGCTGACAGGACCTGGCGATGAACTAGGACTTCTAGGGCTAACTGAAGGAGAGGTGGAATTGTGATTAACCGACAACGGGTTATTGTGAGGCTTTTCGCCGTCGCCTTTGTTGTATGCATCAAGGTGAATAAACACACGACAGGCAGTAATAGCTCTATGCGCCGTTACAAAAAATGACCATAAAAGCAAAACAAAGCACGTACGAGACTGCAGCAGCGGGCACCTGAAATAGAGGGTTCAGCCAGGTAAATAAAGCAGCCATGCAACTTACCATCGCGATGCTACGTCCACCATTTGTTTTAGCCCAGTAAAATGGAACGTAATGGTGGAAGCCACTCACACATTCATCTCATCTAAGAGTCCCAATACAATTCAGGTTTGATTCTCAAAACATTGCGACATGACTGGCTCACTATTGAAATTGAGAGCAGCTAAGACCTATGTGGAAATCAGCTTGAGTGGAAGCATATCTGAGAAGAGGACCTACAGCTGGAACGGTGTTGCAGGTCGACGTGATGAGGAAGTAAACCAAACCATCACGACGAAGAAGGCCCGAAAGATCCTCATGCCTGAAACGTTTTCTGAGAACGAACAGTGTCATCACCAAAATCAAAAAGTCAAATGACATGGCTGGTAGATGTTCGATGAGCGGCAAAATATAGCGGGGAACTTGGGTCACTTGCTGTAGGCGTAGTTCAGGTTCAAGAGGATGTGATTTGTCCTGACAACTATACAAGCCCCAGCTTGGGAATCCCATGATGCTTGCACGGTCATTATGGTGCCAATTAGGATCGCACACTTCCCAAATGACAAGGCAAGCATCGACAGAACTGCCCGACGTTCCCACTCCCAAAGCGTCATGCTTCGAAGGTGAGATCAGTGACTTATAATAAAAGCAAGATAGTACTTACGTTCTAATCATCAGCGAAGTGGAGGCACTTAGAATTGTTAAATTGCCTGCGACCTGCGAGTATCATATTAGTTTCAATCAATCTAATGATGTCTCCATCAGCTCACAAAAGTGAACGTGTACACGGCCTTCAGGATGACCAATATTAATCTCAGCCCATAGTCCGCACATGGGAAACGGTACTTGCATTACAATCAATCTAACCGAGGATGACGATAAGTTACTTTATTTTTTTAGGGAAACGCGATGTCACCTTCGTGGATATATTAACGAAGATGATCCTAGAGTTGACTTGAGTCAGTAACGCGAGGTCCTGGGATAGCTTAGCAGCTTACAATCCAATGAAAGCAAAGAGCATGCTGTAACGGCACAGAAAGAAGAAAACTTTAGACCGCATAAGCATCAGAAAATTGCCAATGGTTAATACACATACTCTGTAAACGTCAAGGTCAGCCATGATCATAGATGAGAGATAGACGCACCAAAGGCCAAGCCAGCTTGCGCCTACCCAAGAACACAGATAACTCGAATCCGCCAGTCGTGCAGATTTCCCATATGTAAATCCCAAACAGGACATAGACCACCTTAGTGAAAGCGACTACAGGAGTAAAATGATCAGAGTAGGCAATTCCTAGAAATTCAGCACGATACTCACTGCCTTCTGCCTTTATTTCCTTCGAGGTTTTCCAATCAACCATTGTGATTGACTTGGGACGATGTAACGAACGACGGTGAGAAAGCCAATAGATGAGGAAGCAACCAATGAAGAGTAAACTGAATCACTTGACGTGTTCCATCGGATATATATACCTCCTTGATAAGGTATTCAAGAATTAACATTCAGTCCTGATCGACGTGGCGTCGAGACCTCTTTCCGTCGCAGCAGGAACCAGGAAAGTGTTTATTGGACTGTTACGTACCTCTCAGGCATGCATGCACTCGCAGGCAGAGGTAAATTTCTTTGTACGGGGCTATGATATTCGTGTTAGCACTTAGTTGCCATGACTGAGCATGTCAGCATCTTTATCTAGCAGCGGAGTTGCCACTAGGTAGATGTACCGAGGGACAAGATGCGACTGTTGACAGAAGGTGAAAGCGCGAGGATTCATTGTCCAGCGGTCGTTTCATGTACTTGGTTTCCACTGAACGAGGGCACTGGAGACTATCAAATCCTCGGAGTGTACAAATACGGGCTTCCGAAAATAGACTTGCACTGGACTGCTGGGTCGGAGCTGCGACTCATGGCCCTAGTAGCAGTAACAGATGATTCTCCACTTGGTGATGTTTAGTTAATCTAGTGAACTGCACGAACTCGGCGGATGTTGGAGATCCTGCCTGAGATTCAAGATAAGATACGTGATAGAGATTCGACATTGAGCTACACACCGCATTATCTATATCACTGGTCAGTGATACCCTAGCACTATTCCCTGTTCTGGTGACATATCATAGTGTGGCGGTTTGGTGCCCACCTCCGTCATGCTCAGATTCACAGCCACGCTAATTCGAAGATTCAAACTCAACAAAAGGATTATTTCATGGTCCAAACTCAGACAAAGGACTGATCTTCAACTACACCATAGCGAGACATTGCCATCCGCCCCTGCGCTAACCAACCATGGTTGCTTGTTGACCCACTTAATTTGGAGCACACCAAGTCCCTCCTGGACATCATGGCCGCGCAATATCTTGAGGGGTACAATGAGCGGATCCGTCATAAGATCACTGTAGACCCTTGCGTGGAAAATTTGGATCGAGCCGTCGTCAGATGAAGACGCAAACAGAGGGTAGGTTGGGTGGAAATGCAGTGATCGAATGGCTCTGGAGTGATAGCTGGTGGCAAGTCGCCGAAATTAATGACCGATTTTGAATTGAAACGAATAACTTACCGAATAACTTTGTACGGTTTTTCGCTTAGTTCTAGATCGAACCAGCACAACTTTCGGTCGTAGCCGCCGACAATGATATGGTCGCCGGACGGATGTACGTCCATCGACGATATCCATTTGATGCCAGGCATGAGAGTTTTCAGCAGCTTCTGCTCAGCCAGATTATACAGTCTGACATAACGTTGGGTCTATTACATTGGAATGAACACAAGAAGGAGCTCGGCAAGGGAACACGTACCGCAACGAAGAAGTGGGGCTTCGTAGGATGGAATAACACCATCTGAACAGCACCCTTGATTTTTTTGAACGGCGCCTGCGAATGCCGGCGTGAGATCTGATGCATCCAAACACTACCTTGAGTCTCGCTGCTGGCTGTAAATGAGGGCCTAATTAGCTTTTAAAAAGTACTTGTGAAACCTTTTTGCTTACAGACTGAAGCTAGATAATCTCCCTTTCTATGCCAAGTCAACTGTCTTGACAGTCCAGATGCGCTTGGAAGTTCAATGGTCAAAATGGGGCCGTCTTCAGCAGCTCCGGATGTCGATATCCATTTAATTGATGACTGAGTAGTAGGGGGGAGAGTGGCAGGTGCCAGAATTGACTGTGTCGTGGTCAACATGGCAGGAGAAATATTTGGCGGTATGAAAAAATGTAGTCGTTCCTCCCTAAGGCACTTGTCAGTAATGTGATGATTGTGGCGGACAACTACTCCTTACGTCCCGGCGACGAGGAAACAAGCGTCAAGTCTTGGGCACCATTCAATGGCGCCAACTTTGCTGCCCAGGTTCCAACGCTTGACCTCTCGCCCCACGTTAACCTCCCAGAGGCTGATCACTCCGCTCTCGTCACCACTAGCCACCCACGCGCCATCAGGACTTATGCTTAGACACCTGACTCGTGCTTTGGTATGCACGAATTGCAGTGATTTGTAGTTGGGGAACGGCCGTAAGCTATTCGGGCTTGGTAGTTTTGGCAGTAGGCTGTTTGGGTCGACATTAAGCTTCACCCTCTGTATCCGTGGTGCAAGATAGAGATCAAGCTGGCGATTGAAACGTTGTTTGATGAACTGGTCGTATGCGGGAACCAAACGAAGCGCCGGATACTTGTGAGGAAGGTAGTCTCGTTCGCGGTCTTCAAAGTCGGTATTCTCCCACTGTTTCCGCTCCTCTTCAGTTGGTAAGTATTCTTCGGGGGGATTGTAGGATTCTGAATTCGTAGGAAGCTTTGGTTTGGGTGCTGGTAACGGGGGCGGCTGATTAGACGGTGGCTCGTTCCATATAGCATAGAATTGCTGCTTTTTATCCGCTGCAGTAGGCTTGGATCCCACGATTCGACCCTGGCGGATAGCACGAACAATCTTCATGATCTGGAAAGAATAAAATAAGGGAGTGTAGCATGGAATATAGAAGAAGGTAGACCTTTTGCTTCTCCCATTTACTTGGAAGCCATCTGCGCTTTGGTTCTGGGGCCGATGAGAGAGGCATGACTTCTTCTTTGCCTTTACCAGTGAACCACTCAATGGTGGGTTCATATGGGTCGTATTCGGCATCAGGATTTTCCCCAGCCTGCAATCTGCGAATGATGTCTAATTCTTCAGCGGATAATGGTTTGTCCATTTGGGTATTTTTGTCAAAAGCAGTTGTCCTGAAATACATTAACGTATGACCTGACTGGAAGGAGATTATTGCGTACCATGAATTGGGATCTTCTACTGTTTGAAGGAATCTATCGAGTTCGTCGCCTTTAGCTGGACGCAACACTCTTTTGCCGTTGATATTGTAGCCCAAGTGGGGTAGGTCATCGTACCAGTGCATTGGTATGTTTCCAACACGGTTAGGATCCTGAGAGATTGTTGCATCATATTGACAAGGATGTATAGGAAAAAGCTAGAACCTACTTACATCTTCTGTCGAGGAGTCCGAATCATAGTCAGGTTCAATCTCTGGGTATACAACTTTTGTCTGTCCAGTGATGTTAGAAACCACCTTTTTAGATTTTGGAAATATATGCAAGTCTGAGTCGGCGTCAGAGTTTTCATCCAAGGTGTCTTCTTCGTCAAGGTCATCTGCGTCTTCTTCTTCTCCCTCTTCGTCGCTTTCTTCGTCGCTGTCACTGGCAGCATCGATTTCTGGGAATTCGTCTACGTCTCCATCGTCCGACGCATCGTCCCCCTCTCGGTCCTCGTCCTCTGCTTCGTCTTCGCTGTGCATCTCCAAATCCACTGCCCCAGCAAAAGGACCTTTTTCCACCTCTTCAACCTCCTCCTGCTTGCGCTTGTTCCGCACTTTCCCAAGGCCAGTAACCGCCATGTTTTAGGAAAGAGTCTCAAGAAGGGACGTGAAGGATCATACTAAGTTTCACCAATCTCATTTTTCGGTCTGAATCACGTGACCACTAGATGTTTGTTAGATCTAGATCGGGTATACTACCGTCTAGTATAAACCGCGATGGTCAACTACGGAGGAGGTCAGTGATCATTGCTGGATATAAAGATAATGGCTTTGACGCATTTTACACAGATGAAGTATCTGCTTTGGTTCTTGATATAGGCTCCTCATCCGTACGCGCAGGGTACGCCGGGGATGATATCCCCAAGGCCATTATCCCGTCGTTTTATGGCTATAAGGCGACCTCAGGGGATGGCGACGTGCAGATGAGCGAAAACGCACCAGAAAACTTCGATTCAACCGCCAAACAAACCCCAAGTGACGCGAAACTTTACCTCGGGCAGAATGGCCCTTCGATCTGGAGAGAGGGTATGGAAATTGGGAACCCTATACGGGATGCGTTGAGTAAGTAACTTTACATTCTGTTCATGGATGGTATTAATATTTAAACTATATAGTTTTTGACTTTAATCCAGTCCCTGCTTTGATCTCGCATGCCCTAGTCGACGTTATGCGAGTCAATCCTTCAGAACATCCCATCCTCGTGACCGAGCCAGCTTGGAACACACCCGCAAATAGAGAAAGAATGGCAGAGATTATGTTCGAGGAGTTCCATGTTCCTGCCTTCTACATCGCCAATACTGGCGTTTTGAATGCGTAAGATTTGATTTACTTGCTATGAGGTGTTAATGTCTTCAATCTTGGAGCAGTTTTGCAGCAGGGAAGGGCTCAGCACTAGTGATCGATGTTGGGCATGCAATGGCCAGCATTACTCCAGTAGTCGATGGCTTCGTACTACGAAAAGGTGCGTCTGCCGTCGATCGTGTTTGGCCTTCCTCATTCTCACATCTCGTAGGCCTGGTATCGTCTGCGCTACCTAAACTCGTCCAAGCCCATGCCAGACACATCCTGAGCAACCCAACGCCAACACGTCGTGGAATCGAACTTCTCCCCCATCAACTTATCGCCAACAAACTGGTGCGTTGTTTATCATGCCCGAATTACTCATTTTATCAATATGACATAACACAGCCTGTCGAGCCTGGTGCGCCACCAAGGTTTACCCTCCGTGAAGACCGTATATCTGGAACGACGGAAAGCTGGAGGGTTTGGTGCGAGAGTCGTGAAGTTGAAGAGTGGATACAGAGCGTTGCTGGTGTTCTTGATCAAGGATGGAACGACCAGTAGGTTACTTTCGTGCACGTTTTCGATCTTTCTCATCGTGAAATCACAGAGCTGCAGCGTCTCGTTCACCACGCCAATACGAGTTCCCGACAGGTTACAACACGTACTTCGGGCCGGAACGATACCAAGTTGGCGAACAGTTTTTCTTCCACTCACCACAGCTAGTGGTACGTGTCTCCCTACCGAACCGATCTCAAAGCCGCTCACTTTCTACAGGCGCAAAATCCAAATCTCCCAAAGAACATTCCTACCTTACTTTCAGAGTCCCTGCGAGCCTGTGATCCGGATCTGCGGCAAGTTCTCATGGGAAATGTGGTTCTCACTGGCGGAGGCAGCCTGTTCCCTGGTTTCGCTGATCGATTGGAGGCAGAGCTATCAAGGAATTTCCCCCATGTGAGTAAAATGCTTCAAAACCTACATCATTTATCTAGAAATGCGTCTGCAGGTCAAGATTCATGCTCCTGGAAATCCCATCGAGCGGAGGTATGGTGGTTGGCTAGGAGGAAGCATTCTAGCGAGTCTTGGCACTTTCCATCAGCTGTGGATTAGTAGAGAAGAATGGCAGGTATGCATTAATTTATGTTCCAGTGCTGGCTTCTACTAACACGGTTTCTAGGAACATGGTAAGCCTATTGTGGGGCAGAGGTGTAAATAGGCGCGTCCTATTGGGAGAGTTTGCTGCTGGTAGGGTACATTGTGGCTGCGGAAATGCAGCTACTTCAAGTTAGCCTATACTGCGGACCTCGTCTTTGTCCTAAAATGTATGGTAGGCTGTTGTTGCAGAAACCGCATGTCCACTGCCGCAGAAATGTCGTGATTATATCCTTGAGTGGAGGTCAAGTGGGGCCGGGTTGCCACCCTTTTTCATTTCCTATATGCTGTACGCTCCATGACAAAGTTCCCTGGCGCTAGTCAAGACACAAGCTTGGACTTGTGAAATGTATAAGTACACGTATTATCTTCACTATTATGCTTAGACTCGACGTTGCTTGAGCTAGGTTCCTGACGGAGCAGAAGCTGATATCCCTCGAGATTCACTCAGACCCACATTACAATGCGTTGATCCTCCAACTCTCAGCCAACAGATTTTACAAGAGCACATGTGCATTCGAACAACGGCTCAAATGAACAACCGTACGCGTACAAGTATGAAACAACAGCGAGTCAGAGTAAGTAAGTAGGCGTAACATGCACTGGTAAGAGTTCAACTCCCACCAGTGCCATAGGCCATACTAATAGCCCTCCCTAACACAAACACTAAAGGTGCAAGGTGAGATGAAAAGGGGCTCCGATTACTACTAGGCAACCACATCAAAAGCCCACACCGCAAAATAGCTAAAACACACTCGCCAGGGAGTAATAAATAAGGTCGAACGTAAAAGTAAAAGGTGAAATGAATGAAGGGAAGGCCGAGTTGAACAAAGCGCTAGCACTAACGTGTCCGTTCCAACCTAAAGTTCCAGGGTTGGACACACAAGGCAGTTATTGTTGTTGACGATGATGATAGTGTTTTTGTCGTAAAGAGTGGAATGTTGAAGTCGAAGTAGCGAAATGTTGAGCTGGTTGAACTTTGTATTAGGCCGAAACAAGCAAGCGTGCTTAGTACGCCTCAACTGCTTCCCTGCGCTCGCGAGCACCCATGAGAACACCCAGGCCGCCGATAGCCTTACGGCGCACACGCGTGGCAAAGTTCTTAGGACCTAATTCATCAGCACCAGAAGGCGGACCACGAGGCTGTCTTAAAGGGCCGATAAATTTATGTGCGATGGGAACGGGCGAGGGAGGTAAGATAGGACGTCCCATTCCCAGCCCCTCGTACAATTTCTTGGCTGCTTCCTCGCGGGCAGACATCGGTGATGTGTCTAAAGAAGATGAAGAGTGGGGGGTAGTGGGATTGGAGAGCGAGGCAGAACTTGAAGTTGAATAGGCATCCTCATGCTCGCTGCCAGAGTCCAGCGCAATGACAGGGAACGTACGCGAAAGAGGTGCCGTAAAGCTCAAGGGGCGTGGGCGCGCCTTGCTGGCAGACGCAGTACCGTTTCCAGGAGGGGGTGAAATACGTTCACCAGGAGGTGGTGTAATTTTAACGCTCGGAGAAACAGCGGAGACCGTGCGGAGGCCATTCAAAACCGAATTAGTGGTGCTTCCACGGCGCCAAGATACAGCGACATCTGACTTGGAAGGAGTGTTATCTTTGATTGTGTAGACATTACCGCTGGGCAAGGAATTTCCGAGTGACGTACCACCACTAATCACAGTGGTTTGCCCGGGAGGAGATGATCCCCTAACCGGAGTCTCGGGACTACTCGGGAAAGCGACACTAGAGGTGACACGCGCACCGACTCGTCCTCCTAGCGCGGCCGTCATTGGCACCTGTTCCTCAAGTGGGGGAGTCTGGACTCCGAGCTGAGCCTTGAGAAGCTCAACCTGACTAGGACGCCTGGCAGGCGGAGAGCCAACAGGACGGATATCAAAGCTTGTTTCAACAGGACCAGCAGTGGCGGAAGGAATTGTGGCGCTTGCACACCTGCTCTGCATCTGCTGGCGCAAGGCGTGCTGAATGAGGATAGCTTGAGCACGAGCATTACGTTGGGCCTGCTCAGACTGGAACAATGCGTGATCATCATTAGCATGCGTGTGAAAGATCAAATAAATCAACAAACCTGTAACCGCGCAATCTCCAATTGCATCATCTGCATCTGCTGATATGCATGCAACTGAACCTCGCTAGGATTTTGTGGCTGCATCCCCTGAGAATAAGAAGGGTAAAATGGAACACTGTTTGGATTGAGGGCACTCTGAGCAGCCATTTGCTGCTGTACGAAGCGGTTATTTGAACCGTCTACTGTGGCAGTCAGGGGACGAGCTGTCTGATTGTTGATGTACATGTTTTGTGAGAAAAGCTCGGCAATTTCATCCATGTCATCCTCCTCCTCTACGAAAACAGAGTGTTGGTTGGACACAAAGCGTGGGACGTTGAATGAACCACCCAGAGCGGCAGTATGAGGACCAGACATGGACGTGGAGCGCACGCCTCCAGTACGAAGACCGTTGAGAAGGGAGGCACGGTTGTTGGACTGCATGGTGGCCATAGTTGAAAAAATGGGAAGATTGCGTAGAGAGCGCGAGTTGGACGATGGCCTTTGTACTAAAACGACACTGAAAGAATTATTGAACAAGACAGACAGATTATGTTGTTGATAGGCGATGAAATGTTACAACTAGAGCAGAGTTAGGGAGAGGAGGAATATGAAATTGGACGACGTACCGAGAAATGGAGGTATAAAAGTATCTTTAAAGACACAAAAATGATATTCACGGTGGAAATTTTGTCTGCTAGCTGTTGCAAGCGACGAGCTGGATGATTATAATATGTGGAGTCCTGTGGACGCCTGAATTGAAAGAAATAAAGAGAACTGTTTTATAGGATTTTATAGAATTTTTATGTATGACAAGGAGAAGGATGCTGTGGATGATAAAAGAGAAAGGGAAACCAAAGCGAAGCGAAGGAACTGGACTGGAAGAGTTAATAGGGCCAAAGCGATATAACAAGTGGCAGTGCCACATCAGTCATCCCCCCTAACACCCGTCGTCGAGCTCAGCCCACAGAACAATCAAGCTCACAGCCTCGTGGTTCAACTTGGATCTCCGTAATGCACTCAACTAAGTTACTAACTGCATTCACTGGTCCTTCCGGTCCCGTCTATGGCAATATCCGTACACGTGCATTTCGTGTAATGAAAGTTATTGTCTTCCCCACACTTGGAAAGCCTCAGGCCCGATGTTAAAGATACTTTTTCGCACTCGCCCGAACACGTGTATCAAATACAATGCTGCGTATCGGTGAATGTGCCGTGTGGAATGGGTTTAACATTGTCTGCCAATCCAGTCAGACAAATCTCAGAGTCATCCTCGTGCGACTAACCTTGAGGTACAGTTCCCAGACATCGTGAAAGAAGGACCGAATTCCATCATCATTCTTGGTCTCATGCAACAGTATGAACTTCATGTCTAAGGTGAGGATGAGAATAATAAACCAGAGAAGGCTTCAACATACTGCCTGGGGTGACGAACGCAGACACCGTCCATTCATTGAATTTATCTACAGATTTCAGGTACCTTGCCATGATCAGGGGAGCATATAATCATAAGGAATGGAATGACTTACATGGCGCTTTCCTTTCGCATGACATCTTCAATAACATCCAAACTGGCGTTGGCAATCATTTGGATCACATGCCGATCTTGCCCTCCGCCCATCCTCACAGCACCCCCCTGGACGTGATGAGACTGCGTAGCACTAGACGCTCCTGACAACGCCGTCAGGGTACCCGCAAACGCAGAAGTAGACCATGTAGGCAGGTTTGATGAAAGTGATGAGGACGTTGGTTGTGGTAGCTTAGTTGAGTAGTGCGTCAAATTGTATATTGGTGTATCAGACGGAGAGAGCAGGAAGAGATGATGAGACATTGTGGCCTATAACGAGCCAGCGCTAGCTTGTTTTACGATCGAGAGAATTAATGAAATTGCATCAGCTTGAACGTTGCGGTCAACATGTGCCAGTGCGCTCTTCCGAACTTGTTCCATGATGTCGAAAAGGTGCCTGCATGTTTTTAACCGCTCTATCATACAATCAAAATGCAACAGCCGCCTGGCTCATTGCAATACCCTTTGCCGACCTAATCCTTCTCCACAACTAAAACCATTCTCGTCACTGCCAGCACGAATCGTCCAATTCCAGACGGCCAGTACCACTAGTTCACTGCCAGCCTTCCTTCAATTTGCTCGTACGCAACTGCGTAATGCAACTCATAGAGACCTGCTTCAACGCTCCCGGTATAGTTCCCCCCGTCGCCCACCCCGCAGGCCAAACTGGCTCGACTCAATAAACGGAAACGTCATATTCGTGGCCGTCATTGCAATAAACGCTGGCGTCTTTCTTCTCTGGCAAGGTGCCAAGTCCACATACGTTCGTAGGCGCTACGCTCTCATTAAGACTAAGGTATAGGGTGCAGCTGACAGCCATCCACAGCAAACCACTCGTGACCCTACACTCTGGATATTCCTTCGGAACAACTTTTTAGTGAATTGGCAGAACATCACCTCCGGTCGCGTGTGCGTCTGACTCTTATTGGGCGTTGCTTCGGATCTCACCTCATTCATCTGGCAGGTGGACGCTCATCACCTCATGTTTCTCCCATCAAGACATAGAGCACATATTGTTTAATGGCCTTTCATTCTACTTCATGGCCCCAGGCGTCATGCAAGTCCTCGGGAACTCGCGTTTCTTGGGGCTCTACTTTCTCGGTATTCCTCCACTTCTCACTCACGCAACGCCACTAACGAAAAATACCAGGCGGCATCGCATCCAGCGTGACAAGTCTCGTATGGAACCGTTTCTACAAGCGTGAATCCAACTACTCTTCACACGGCGCAAGTGGTCCGTCCATCTCTTCACCCCTTCATTCACATTCACCTTCATCCACTGAAACGTTGTGTAGGCGCAATATTAGCAACCATCGCGTTTTACGCCTGTGCATTTCCAAGAACGAGGTTTTTAATATTCTTCGTCATCCCTTGTCCTGCGTGGGCGTTCCTTCCCGGGATTCTCGCGTTTGATGTGTATAGAAGTGTTACAGATGCTGTGAGTTGATTTCGTAAGTTGTGCTATCCGGTCAATTGAATTGATCGATCTCGCAGAGAACGACAACGGATACGGCGGGCCATGTCGGTGGAATGCTGTCAGGCATAAGTTTCTTCTTATGGAGAGTGGCTCTTCGTCGCTAGACTTGCCAAATCCTGCTGTGATGGCATTTATGATGCCAACTACCTACACGACCAGAAGAATTGGATCCATTACGCAGCATATGAGGTGTAATGTAGACAGGATCGGCTTGCAAGTGCGAAATAGAGAAAAAAATGAAGGTGATATATATACTACAAATCAAACAGCATAAAAAATAGCAATGGTGAAAAGAAACAGACAAATTAACGAGCATGATAGCTCTGAAACATCCATATTAGTTGGTGAACATAAGCATATCATGGAATACCGTGAGCAATGAGCATTCACTCTGATGCACGGCCTTTCTCTCTCTGCGGGGTATTCATCAACTTGTCCAACCTCCCCATCTGACCCTCTAGTTTCGTTATTCCAACGCCGTTGCCATCTACGCCAAGGTCCCTCGCATTGTGCTTATCGAAGTAATACGTGAGCAGGTTCTTCTTGTTATCATCGAGCCCGTCGAGCAACGCGAAGAGATGAGTCTCGTCTCGGAGCACGAGCTGCGCAGCTATGATAGTAGCGTACGCGGCTTCGCGAATGACAAGAGTAGTGTCGTTTAGCGCTGCCATTAAGGTAGATTTTAAGCGCGGAAGCTCCTCCTCAAGAACTTCAGCGGGCAAGCGCATGACGAATTTACCCATAGCGATTAGTCCAAAAGCATGGGATGCGTGTTTGGCACTCATATCCGACGAAGGTTCGGCTAGAAACGCACGCAGGCTGCCGTGCATCGTAGTTAGACCATAAACAGGTTCGATCCGTGTTGCGAGGGCATCACGGATTGTTTTAGTTGCTTCAAGAACCTGGAACTGTCGTGAGCATAGAGTACACCAGCAAGGGATAGGATTTACATCAACAGCATTACAGTACCGCACAGTAAACAAAGTCGCGAATATGTCGGCTTCCCGACCTTCCACAAATGGTGCTTGGCAGCTTAGCAATTCCCAGAGCACTATCAGGCCGTATTCAAGTTGCTCTGCATCCTATTCAAATACGGCAAATGAGTAATCAATGGCACCAACACAAAGTAAACTAGCGCACCCTTAAAGGATCAAGAAACTTAATCAGAGCATTGAATAGCCGTTCAAAGCTCTTTTCCTTGGTCCATATGTCAGGTATCAATGGAGGAAGAGAGCGACTGATGCCAAGGAAAGGCGAAACAGTGGAAGGAAGTCCCAGTCCTGGACTCAGGGGAGATGTCGTTGCGGAAGGTATAGGATTGCTGCTGCACAACAACGCTAACTTTTGGAGAACCCGAATGTCAGTTTGATCGCTCTCCAGTGCGGTAATATAGTCGTTGAGTTCTTGTACTCGATCTTCAAATGCAGTTGCTTTGAGGGGTGTGGCATGTCCGAGGGCTGCGTGCATAAAACCAAAATCAGAAAACAGCAAGGATTTGTAACTAATGACAACTCACTGGACGTGCGTTTCAACCACCAACTAGTCTCATGTACTTGGTCTTGAACTGGCTTCACAAGGTTGTCTACAGCTTTGATGTTTGCGGGACTATTCTTGAATAACGCTGCCTGGCGGAAGATAGCTGCGGTTCGGTTGTCCGGAGTCACAGGAGGAGGAGCCAGGCTTCGTATTATCGCTGGTGCATTTTGCGCTTTGGATTTTGGCGTCGCAGATCCGCTACGTCCAAGGAGTAGCGACGGAGGAATTGTGGAGTGTTGGTTATCCTCACCATCCGGGTCGTTCAGCTCGAGCAATCGTTCCGCAGCACTCTGTGCTTGCTCTGCTCGAGCTATAAGAGCGTCTTCAACAAGTGCTGTCTCTGAAGGTTTTCCATTTGACAATATATCAGAACTAGTATAAGGCGTTGAACGATCGGAGCGGGGAGAGAATGAGCGTTGTTGACTGGGTGCCGGAGGATACACCTTGTAGGGAGTCGAGAAAGACATGAGATTGACAGACTCATCGTCCATCTCAGAATCACAGTCATCAGGTATGGGTATAATGGTTGCCAGTAAGAGCGTCTGGTCATCGTTAATATCGGGCATTACAGTTGACTGGCGAGCTGGGACTGGAACTGGAACCGGAGGTGCATGATACCGAGGGGTTGGTGAGTTGTGATAGGAATCCGAAAGATTCGGCTGCACAGTTTTACGGATGGTAGATAAACGGCTAGGAGATATGGGTGGGACAAGGGGAGAAGATCCTCGACGTCGATTTGTTTCGGGGCTGGATGACACCGATGAATCGGTGGAGGAACGTGAATGTGACGTCAGGACCGCGCCAGAGCTTACGGAACGAGGCATAGTACCACCCAGGACACGTGGTTTCGATGGCGTAAGGGGGGAAAGGGATGAACGAGGGGACAGCGAAGACCTCGAAGCTGGCGATGGCGAGCTGCGCCCATTCGAGAGTTTAGCCGTAGGGCTTATTGGCGACACAACTCTCCGTGCTGTAGGTGATGTTGCGCGTGTTGCGTGTGATGAGGACGTCGCTTGATGTCTTAGGGTAGGGGGCGCAGTTGCAATGGCTTTGGCCTTGGCACGACTGGCAGCAATCGCAGCTGCAACGCTGCTCTTCTTTACATTTGGTGTGTTTGGTGTGGTGGAAGGAAGACTGGCAATAACTTCAGGGTCTGGGCATGCCTTCTCCAGCTGCTTGCGTGCTGTGGGGTCGAGAGACTCAAGAATTCCAGCTGCCCTGTCATGCCAGACACTGTTGAATGCCCAAAACGCATTGCGGGCTATTTCCTTGACAGCAGGATTGGGATCAGCCAACGCTTTCTTCAAGGACTTCTCGAGGATCTCCACACCACCATTAGCTTCTATATGCGATCTTGCCCGTGTCCCATGTAGCTGGATATAGTGGGTGATGTGGGATACTACGAATGTTCGAGATTGCACCGTCTTTTCTTGGAGAGTGTTCCAAAAGAGGGAAAGAAGAACCCGAGGATGTGCTGAAGCATGCTCCATTATAACGGAGAGCGATCGCTGGGACTGTTGAGCAGTAATTTTCTTGGTAAATCCTGCCATTCGGAGCAAATTCGTGTACAACATTTCACAGAACGGGTCGATCCCTTGACCCAACGCAATGGCAAGCTCGGAATAAAGGGAACAGGTGTTTGCAGAAACCGTTGTCCGTAAACTGACGAGCTGAAACAAAGGAGAGTTGTGTGTAAGACGTTTTTGATAAGTTTGAAATGCTTACTGTTTTTATGGAAGATTGCATGAATCCGTCTTTCAGGCATTGAAAGAATACATCGGGATATCTTGTATGGATATTTCCGGAGAGCATACCGCGGACACGTTGAATGGCGCGTTCGCGGGCAGCCCAGTTGTGTTCTGTTTCCTTCCCCTATGTCGCAAGTTAAGAAGGCTGGCCAAGTATTCAAGGGTGTTGACAGTACCTCGAATGATTTTGCAAATGCTAGAAATTCGTTTTCCAGATCTCGACTAGATGCAACCTATAATTGTTGCTTAGATAAATCTCTGCGAGGCGAGGTGGCAGAACATACAAAAGCAGGTTCAACCGTGCTAGCTGCTTCGCTTGACGGTTGTGACGACAAGGGCGGAGAGACAACTGCAGCTCGACTTGGTGGCCTCGGAATCTCTCTCACATTTCCTTGACTTACTGCCCTCGTGATACCGGGCGTAGCTCCAGATGCCGCGCCAACCGTTGGACGGCGACTCTGTTGCAGCATCATGCTTGGAGGAATGTACTCCTTCTTTGGCTCTCCACTGCCCACGGAACCCTCGCCCTGGGGCGTGCTTGTCCCAGCAGCACGACTGGAATGCATGAGCTGTGACTGAATATTCTCAACCATCGCTTTGCGTACCCCCTTCTTTGTCAGCTCTTTCTTGAGGTCTGAGCGAGCAGCGTCCGTCACGCCCGGCCCAGTGAAGAGCTCAATAACGGAAGGCGATGCGCATGCGCGAACATTACCATCCGTGTCTTCCAACGTGTCTACTAGTAATGAGACGTATGGTCGAACAGGAAAAAGATGGTGGGTTCGGCGGATGTGCACGAGGACTAGTAATGACTACGGTAGAGAGTGAGAAGTCGTCACACCAGCTCAGAAGGTCCCACTTACTTGTTCTCGGACTCTGGCAACCTTGCTTCCAAAGCCGCTATCTCTGAGGAAACGTTCGAATATTGTAAGTGGCGTTTCTGGACCCCCCTTGCCATCCTTCATCTTTGAACCAGATGGAGCCCTGAATGCCAGTCCGCCGAGGATAACCAGTGTTTCACGCGCCTTATCACGAGCCTTTTCGCGGGTATCACCGAGACGCTCGATGACGCCAGGAGCGGGAAGAAATGCATTCATAATCTGGCGGAGAACCATCAAGTCATGGGACGTTCCGGGAGTAGACGACGTGGAGGATGATGCTGATAATGGGCGCGCGTTTGCGTTTGGGACGACATTGTTGCGCGAAACGATCAAGGGGAATAGAGGAGGAAGGGCAGAGAGCGTGGCGGTTGTTAGATGTTGATTTGAGATACGAAGACATGCTTTGAGGGTAGAGATGACTGGTTCTGGTTCTGTGATCTAAATACAACCAGTTAACGAGGCTCGGTTCATTGACCAGGTAACCGACACGTACTTCTATGCCTGACTCGAACTCTGCCTGCAGTTTTGTAACGGCATCAACCTTTTGGTCAACGTCTGTGGACACTGTGAGTTCTGATGGTTGTTCCCAGGGGATACTACCAACCGTTGCTTTTGCATTGATTAATGAGTTTTTCGAGCCTCTCGGTGCTCATGATTGTTTGAGAGGAAAAGAAAACGCGATGGGCGCGAATTTAATCGAGGTTAGCAAGTCCCAAAGGTTTACTACCGTCCGAGTTCGCGGGTGTGGCGGAGAACAAAGTGAAGCACTTCTCGCGACGGACACTTATGCAACAAAACCGATTCTCACTATAAGTATCATACATGCTCTTATCGTGACGTAGTAGGCAACGTTTTTTTATTCACAATCTGCTTCGAATAATTTCTAACAGGGCTTGACCAAGGCACTTGGACACGTCATTCGCTCTTTTTATCAGAATGACCTAAAGATTTTCCAGGTTGTACGTAGTCGCGTATACGCTGCTTCTGATAGGGCATCAATTAGATTTCATCGCATCGACTGGAACAAGTCGAACTAACCAAACCTTTCAGTTCAGGAAAACCACCCTCGATCTTCCTGTCCCACATCAATTGAGGGGGACTACCTTCGAGGTTAAGCCAGACCCTAAAACTACCTCCAGTTTCCTCAGAGTTCAGAGGAATGATTGATATCGCCTTCAAGACTGGAGGCGGAAATGTAAGGAATAGCTCTGTGGAAACCCAGGTCGCTCGATGGAGCCTACAAACAATGAATGAAATTGAAAGTTAGCAGTACTCGTCCCCCTTACCATCGACACTGGATAACAGATGATACATCAATCACAGTAAGCTGTCACAACAAGCACTGCCGCGTACTCGGTCGCAGAATTCTATGATAATGCTGGGTGACATCAGTGGAGCCGGTGGAATGAAAGTCGACGAGTCGAGAGCAGGATCTCCTTTGGCCTGCTCTACATTATCTTGTTCACTAGGCAGCGGACAGTATACGCCAGCCGATTCTGCCATCTTGGCCGAATGATGGAATTGCCAGTACTAGTGATGTCGACAGCAACCACTGATAAGTAGGTCACGTGAATGTGCGATCGTTGTTGACGCGTTGTTTGTTCCGAGTCTACCATCGCGTCTACCATCATCATCCTTAGAATGTCACCAACCTCAACCTCAAAAATGGTGATCGACAGTAGTAAGGACGCGATATCGACATCGCACTCAGACATGGATAAGAGCAAATCAGATGTAATATGGACCGTGCACGGTAAGTCTCAGTTACAAGTAAAATTACATCAAACATCTGATCGCGATGCATGTATAGTCGAAGTCCGACTCTCGACAAAGTCTAGACGACGCGTAGATATTATTCAAGGTCTCGTCCGAGACTTTATTACCAAGAACTACGATCCCATCACGCTCCCATCCATCCTCAATGGATGGGAAGGAGACCCGACCCTTGCTTCATCGGTGGAACGAATCGCAATATCAGAATCACCATGTCCATTAAAGTTATTACGCCTCAAAGAGGTGTCACTGGAAATTCACGCTTACCAGCCACACGAAGCCGATGCAGTCGAAGAGTATGCTAATGGAACACCAGGCAGAGATGGTGAGGAGAACGTGCTCGCTGCGAGCGTGTGCGAACTCCCATGCAAGGCATGGGAGGGATTGTGGGATGGCTTGATATATGCGGATAACATCAAGCTGAAACTACTTGATTATATTCACGCAACTTTTGTTCTGAGTGATGCTGATGTCGACTGTGGGTGAGGCAATCAGGCGTGACCGTGATGTATGCTGACCCTATTTCAGTTAACCTGGTGACATGGAACCGTGTGGTCCTGTTACATGGTCCTCCAGGGACAGGCAAGACGTCGTTATGTCGGGCACTAGCTCAAAAATTATCCATACGATTATCTCATCGGTAAGTCCAATATATGCGCTCTCCGTCTACTTCACGAACTTCACATTCCTCGTAACAAACAGATACTCTCAGTCACGCCTCCTAGAGATCAACTCTCACTCCCTGTTTTCCCGTTGGTTCTCGGAGTCAGGAAAACTTGTACAGCGTCTGTTCAGCAACATCATGGAAATGGTGGAAGATGAAGACTGCTTCGTGGTTGTGCTGATAGGTAAATCTGGCACGCGTATAGATTGTTGTGTTACCCACTTATAGCGCTCTAGATGAAGTAGAATCCCTTACCGCAGCCAGAGCTGGCGCCATGGCAGGCACGGAACCATCAGACGGCTTGAGGGTACGTCTGAAAGTGTCTCATGATGTGTGTTCCTTACGAAGTGTATAGGTGGTCAATGCTCTCCTCACACAACTGGACAAGCTCAGGTATCAGAAGAACGTCCTAGTGATGTCCACGAGTAACCTCGCAAAAGCCATAGGTAAGGATGCGGGAGGACCATGCATACGGAATGTCTGATTACCTCTCGAAGATTCGGCCTTCGTTGATCGAGCAGATATCATCCAATACATCGACTTACCTCCACGCGAAGCTATATATGAGATTCTTCGTAGCTCCCTGTGCGAATTCATCAAAAAAGGAATACTACAGGAGACAGTGAGCTGACCATGAACCTGATCTCGTTATCGATCTTCTTGCTGATGGTACCTCTTAGACAGTACCGACGCTTGAACGAGCGCTGTACATTGAAAGCAGCAAGTGGAATCACTCTAGCGCAAGTGGTACTATACTGCCTTATTCACCAGAAAACCTTGCATCTACTTTACTGGCTCTTGCTGATAAATGCAGAGTAGGTCCAACCATTCTCTCTAGTGTCCATGGCTCAGGAACTCCCACAGGCGCAGCAACTTTCAGGACGTGCCCTTCGGCGTTTGCCCGTTCTTGCACTTGCGAGGTACATTGGCATTGGTACATCATCGACCACCAGCAATCTCAACTCGCGATTTCAAACTAACATACGCTTATGGCTGGAGGCGATGGAGAAAGTCCTCGATGATCGAGCTGCAGACCACAAAAAACTTTTGTAGTCGAAACCGCATTCTCACGTTTTGCATCACATTGTTGTCTTCTTGGACTCTGCCCTATATCTCAACATGTATGATACCTCCACCTGCAATCAACCCACGTGTATCACCGCTATCCAAGTTGCAGTGAAACCGCGTGAATTTAGTACCCTGAGAATGTTGTGCAAAAGGTGGTATAGATGACCAGACGGTGACGACACCGGACAGGCACTTGGTCAAATCAGCTCATTGATGACGGGTCGACTAAAGACATACAATTAGTCACATTAAGAGGTCATCCCATAAAAACACCTACAAAACTGCAGGGGCTGGGGCCTGGGTGCTCTGAAACCTTTATATCCTGCAACCCATCCGTTCCGCATAATTCGACCACCATAATCTCCCGAAAGACCCGTCTTTCCTTGCTTGAAGTTCACGATCCTCATCCATGCATTCCTTGGCACAATTACCCGAGCATTCTTGCTGAGCAAATAAATATTCTTCCCAGCCCAAACCCGTCTGCCAAGTCGCTCCTTCGCCCGTTGCGTCACCCGACTGAACGCGACTTCATAGTGGTTCTCATACCACGTCACGAGTTCGTCTAGATTTTTCTGGAGGATGTTCAGGTGGAGGTTTATATCGAATATTTTCTCCCGTGGGTGGAATTCTGGGGCCGTGGAAGGAGTGTCGAGGTCGACATCTAGAGCTGTCGAGACGTCTGGTGGAGAGGAGCTGGAAGAACTACAGGAAGTTGGTTCTGAGGGAGATGGAGGAGGAGGGAGGCTGTCGCGTAGCTCAGAGTACCACGCGATATCGTTTTTCTTCCTCCGTATGGTCTGTCTCGTAACCCATCCAACCCATCGCATCAACTCTATATTCTTGTCTCTGTTAGCCTCTCCAAAAACAGGTATTATGGTGCCCCGGTTAAGGCTGAAGTGTGGTGCAAGCGTGCCATGGGGATCACGATACAGCTGACTCCGTAAAAGACGGTCGACCGAACGATCCAGGCGCACAGCTTGGTAGAGGTAATGTCGCGCAAAGGTGGCATGGCCTGCGCGCGAGATGTGCTTCAGTAAGATATTGTACGAAGTAGTATTAGGCCGGGCGTGGGGTGTTAGGTGTGGCTCGGTCGACGCGGGGTTTGCGATTCCAAAGTCATCCTCATCATCGAACTCTTGTGAATAGTGCTGGCTGGCTTGTGGTGGAAGGGGCTGGGTGAGGACCTCGAAAGTTTGGACGAGTTTGGCTACATTGCCGAGGCGACCGAGCATGTCAAGGGTGGTGTTGAGAGCGGCGGTGGAAAAAGGTGACAACATGCTGGAGCCTTGTAATGGAGGGTGGTCTGGATAATCCAGGTCTATACCATAGCCCAGCTTCATGAGCTGAAGGAAACCCTCCTGATCTAACACTTCCTTCAAGATACGTATCACCAAGTCAAGGTTGAAAGATGTTAAAGGCATATCCCGAGCTGACATTTCCTTGAGCAGCTTCCGGCAAAGCTTGCTCGCATCAGCAAGCACGTCCTCGCGCTGTGCCTTATATATTGGCAGAGACAAACGGTGTGCGATTGCTTTGAGGCATAGGCCGAAGGTTTTCGCTTCAGGGTCCAGTTTGCAGACGTGCGTGAGTTCTGTGAGTACCTGCATTGCACCGGTATAGTAACCCACAGCGGCGAACTGATGCAGAACGACATGGTAATCGTCAAGAGTGGCATCTGCGCCTGTTGCTCGGATATTACGCATGACGGTCTTGAGACGGGCCTCAAAATGGTGAGGGGTGCGAGAAGCTTGGCCTGCTTGCATGCGACGCGCTGTCCATGCTCTCAAGGTATACGCGCCCGGGACGCAACGTCGAAGAACTGCTTGATGGACTTCCAGAGGAAGATCGTCGCATTCCACGTAGTTCATGAAATCGACATAGCATAACCATACTCTGGCATAACTCCGTGTCTCACACGAGAGGACCTCCATAAGAGCAGAAAGCTTTTCCTTTTGGATTATGTCCTTGGAATTCTTTTGTGAAGCAGCAGTTGTGCTTGGGCCGGAATATGCATCGTGCACTATTTGAAGCGGAAGGGTTATAGCGGAGGAGCAGCGAGCAGATGTATGAACAAGTCGACGTAGGGAATGAACTTGGGTTGTAGCGGAAAAGCAGACTTTGGAAAGCTGTCTCCGCATGGAACAGTAATTAGTCTGGCGCCAGGACTGGCCAGAAGTATCCGAAGCCTCTTGCAAATGCCTGCAGTGCGCAAATTCGCTTGAAGTGACTCCGACGAAAAATGTACTAACTTCCTTTCTAGGAATTACAAGTTTCCTCACAGATCTAAGCTAGTATAAGTACATCACTTCATATCTCAGTACTTGTACATGCTGATATCAGTATTATACGCGCTTTGACCATCTTGCGCTCTTCAGGCATAACCCACACTGTACATGGGAAATCCTCGCGTTATAAATTGCTGTATCTCAACCAACCACGGACATACATAATTATACTATTCACTCCGTGTTGCTGGACGGTCGATTTTCTCGTGCACAATCTACGATGCATCGGCGACAAACGGGTGTTACTACTGACGGATAGCTTCGAGAATTTCCATCGATGTCACACTGTTACCACGAATAACCTGCAAAGATGGGAATAAGATGTTGCCCGCAAGTAGCATTTGGGGGCGTACCACAGTTCCAATGGGATGTTTCTGAGCCGGGGTCGACTCTTCCAGAGCATCGTCGATGACGAGGTTCAGAAAGAGGTCGTAGCCACGCAGAACACCGCTGACTTTGCGGCCACCCTGCAGATGGACGAACAACTTCTTGTCCATAAACTGTATCAAGTCATTTAGCATGCAAAGGCAGGACTTGAATAGAAGTCTACCTTTTTAAGTTCTGGTTGTGATGCCTTGGACATGATTATTACAGATGATAAGTCACTGTCAGGGTCGCCGCTGAGCTCGAGCAGGTTTGTTGCTTTGCAGTGTTTGGTTCAACACTAATACTAAATCCAGAGCCTAGCTCCATAACGCCCTTGCAAGCCCTTTTTGTTGGCTGACCGTATATTGCAATCTATCTGCTGCTCTGTATAAAATCTGACTGGGCGTACCCTTCCTCCAAATCAACCCGAGCAAGATCCATTTGTCGGCGTTTGTCGCTTTCATTCAGCTGCTGAACGCTGCTTAGACCATATAACAGGCTAGCTAACCCATAAAGTCTTCATCGCCAAATCGTTGTTTATCGAAGACGGTTCATGGCGAGCCCCACCAGCCGAACACCCCCAACCAGTGCAAACCCTTCTACCCAGCCCCAATCTCGGCCGCGAGATTGGAATAAGCTGCGAGGTGGAGAGACAGGATCTACTTTTCGCGGTTCAGGGAGGGGCAGAGGTGCTCGTGGTGGTAGTGGAAGGGGTGGTGGTCGCCCTCCAAACAGCCCAGTAACCAGAGGCAGCAGCAAGCTTTCACACACAGAGCCCTCGGAGAGCCACGGTTCCCTCCCAGACGTGTCCACGCCTAAGGCCGAGCCTTCACCAGCTCGTAAGGGTTTTTCCCAGTCGGAAGCTACTAGTGCAACATCGGAAAAATCTGTTCCTAGTCCAGCTGACCGTACTCCAAAGCCTAAAACGCGTACTTCTCGCGGTGTTCCAGTTGTGACTGTAGCTCCAGTTTTTCCGGCTCCAGTTTCTGTGCACAACGTGCCTTCCACACCAAGTCGTCATAATGCTAGCCGACGTCGACGCACTAACACCAACCAACCTGCCAAGCCTTCCGTAAACGGTGCTACTAAGCCAAGTATACCATCGTCCACTTCACTACGTCCACAGAAGCCAAGGGCAGCATCTTCTACTTCATCATCTATCGCACCACATAAAGAAATCCCTCTCCATCCGGCAGCTGTACACGAGGCTGAAATTCGTCACGATATTGACGCATTGGTCGAACGTGTCAGGGCAGTTGCAATGGCTGAAAATAGGCCTTCAACTCCTGGAAGCCATATCGATTGGGCTGGTGACGAGGATGACTCATTGCCCGACCTTGATGATTGGGGTGTTACGACGACTCGGAACAATATCAGCGCAGATGAAATAAGTGATAAGATATCACCCATATTGACAGATGCGCTGAAGCCGCTGCCAGAACCTCAGACGGAAGGAGATGATGCTGAAGATGAGGAAGAGGAGCATAACATGGAACCTTTAGGCAATGATGTTGATGGCGAAATCAACAAGGACTCGTCAGATTCCTCACCCCTATCTGATACACCTGATACCATTGTCACGGCCACCGCAGATGCGCATGACTCTCCCGTCACCGTAGTCGCACCCGAAACTATCACGCATACTGATAAGCCCTTGCTCCACCCATCCAAGCCGGTTGTTGCAAGGGACAGCCTGTGTGCAAGTTCTGCACACTCCAACTTGATACCCAAATCAACGTTAATCGTAGATGGTGAAGAGCCACCTGCAACCAAGGGGGGAGGCCTTTCACAGTCTATCCATGCTCCCTCCCTTGCCGAGATAGAAATACTAGAAAAGACTCTCAGCTCTTCTTCCAGCGACCACGGCCTCGCTGGATCCATCCATGCGCCCAAAGGCCTCCCGGATTCCCACTCCGCTCCATCGTTGCTGAGCCCGGGTACCCCCTCTCCTGCGCGCACATATAGTCCCTCACATGGTCGATCGAAGACAGAAGGCCGCCCCGCCTTTCCACATCCCCGCACGGCGGCGATAAATCAGCGAGCCATTCGTTCTGGTACATCTTCGCCACTAGGCCCGCTTGTCCACGCGCATGTGCGGAACCACTCGACACCTCCTGGAGGGGCGGGGCAGCGTGCCCCACATAGCACTCGACCGGTCATCACTGGAGATGCCTTATCTCGGCTGGCAAGAACGATTGGCGGTATACCAGGCATGCCCCGTTCCCAAGGTGTCGCCGTCGCAAAAGACTAAATGTTTCCACCATCCCCGCCCATTATGTTACGAATGCTCCATCTCTTGCCCTGGTCTACGTGGTATATATATATTTGCTCATCGACAATTGTACTTTCCGGTTTCTTGGTTGCACGTCGACCTCTCTGTTTCGCGATTCTGTTGGATAATAAAAACTGCAACTAACTCTGTCTGCACATATAATCACTACATACCCTCCTACGCTCTTCGCTCTACGATTCGCTGCTCCGTTCTCATACCTGTACTGATCTCGGGTGTATGTACAATACCTTACACGCAATTATTGACTGGTGCTGAGCGCTCAACTCTCAATGGTTCCTGTCAGTCTAAGATATGTGCATGCAGGGGACTCTAGATCAACCAGCGCTGAAATATGATAACTCTAGTCCTATGGCCTTTATTGGTTTTGACCTACTGGAGAGATCCGACACGAAACCCAAGCTAACCAGCATCTGCTTCAGGCGACCCTCCCACATCAATGAGACATTCTAATTGCAGTGAGCGATGAGCAACCTCAGCATATCATAATACAATACAACTCACGTTGTTGGTCGAGATCCTCGCCTTCACCACTCCATGGATATCGGAAGGAATATCAAGAGACTCGGCCTGTGGAACAGGAACCGGTGGTTGCTCTGGAGGAATAAGTGACGGTTCGAGCTCATCTTCATGCTTCGAGGGAGCTCGTCGCATCCACCATTCAGCACCCATCGTCCACTCGCTATCATAACTGTAGACGTTGAAATCGAACCGAGAGCACATTGAGAGGTCACGCGATACACGCGCAGCATAAGCCGTGGATATATGTCCCATCATCGGGTTGAAAAGAGCGGTGATAGTCGTCGGTGGTTGAGATGGGGGCGACCGAGAGCATTGGGCGAGTGGTGAGGATGATGGTTGAGGGGATTGGAAAGATGGCGGGGTTGCATCGGGGAGAGTTGTGAAACGAATTCCTGTGGATACTGGAATTGGATTATCAGTGACTGGGGATGACTAGATCAATTTGTCTTACCTCCGGCACTCCTCTCTTTTGCGCTGATGTAGAACTCTGCACCAGCAGAAACTCTGCCCTTCAGACCGCCGCCGGTTGCCTCTTCTTCGTCAACACGTTTAGGTCTTGTTCCAGGAGATGAGGCCAAATCCTCAGGAGGCTCTGTTGGATTCCTGAGCCTACCAAAGTTATGCAAGACGCGCACACCCAACATCCCGTCTTCTGCGCTGTACGTATATTCAGAGCACCACTTTCCGATGTCATGCTGTAGGCTGAACATGACGTTGCTGACATTGTCGCCTCGAGACCGCTTCTCGGAAGAGAGAGTGGACCGTGGATCTGATATGGCTGCGACAAGTGCCTGTAGAGTGGGGGATAAGCGCGTGGAATAGAGTGCATCGAGTCTACCAGTAGGCAGGTACAATCGGCCATAGAGCAAATAGTCTGAATCCTGCACGTCAACACTTCAAAACGACACCACTCGGAAGACTTACCACGTGTGTCAGCGCGCTCTCCAGCGAACCATTCTTCCTCCTTTCCTTCTGGCCTACGAGGTTGGTCGTACACCTTGAAACGCTCGACCATGTCCTTGAAACGGACACTACCGGAGCTCTTCACGTCGAGGTTGCAGGATGTAAATATGTAGCCTACTGAGCCGTTGAGCGACGGCATAGCGTTCATGGAATACGAGGTGTTGAAGAGTCCATTAGGAGCTTTGGATATGGACAGATGCAACCCACGAGGGACGCTGAAGTCCAGTATAGCTAGTTATCCAGTGTATGTGCTTCAGCCCAGACTAGTAATACAGGTTCTGAAGAACGTACCGTTAGAAGAACGGGTCAAGTTAGCGTACAAGTTGTCTTCGTTCCATCCTGTTGCACGGTAATAACTTCGCAGTACATAGGATGCGAATGGGTGCATCTCGCTGAGATGTTTACGTAAAATATTCGGCGACAGTTACCTTGCGGAGCAAGATCATGTTGGGTATATTTTCTTCCGCCGGCCTCAAAAGGGACTTATAAGGCATCTCATGATGCATGTGACCAGATTTATAAGCCGGCGGTATTGTAAAGGTCACTTACCATTTTCCGACATAAGCAGATGGCCTTACACAAGTGCTGGCTGCGCTTACAATGCTGATTTCATCGAGAATGATCATTTCAATATCTGCGGAGGCCGCGGGATTTGGCTAGGGATGTATTGGATAATATTACATGGGAGGGTGCAGCTGAGAAAGCGAGACGTTACACTTACAGCTCTACTTGAGACGATGGAAATTGAACAGTGAGATATGCGATTCAACAGCATGGACGACAGCAATATGGATGTAGCGAAATATAGCAAGATTTGTTGTTATCCAAGGAAAGTAAGGATATCTCTCGTCGAAGGTCTCCTCTCAGGGGCCGACCAGCAGCCCTTGACCAACTCCCATAGACGGTCATCCAAACCCCTCTCGGTGGCCGCAGGATCACTAGGACGTGGAGGCATCTCCCCCCTAGAAAGTTTGATGATAACATGTGTTGTGTGGCGGATGTTGTACCATGGTACTTGATGGGTCATAACCTAAGAATAGCATGAGATTTGTAAATTGTTCTCGAATGAAATTTTAACTTACCTCGAGTATAGTCATGCCATATGCAAATATGTCAGATTGGGTGGTAAGCATACCGCCGTCACAGCAGAGCTCTGGCGCAAGCCATCTCTGGGAATTTGAAACTCTGAATCAAATTGAGTCAGTACATCGCAAGTGATCGCATTATCGATCTCAGTACCCAGCAGACATCGTAAAATTTACACCCGTGACATCTTCCAGGACCTGATTTCACATATCAGTGATGTGGTCAATCAACTATTGGAATGTGATGCTACCTTGGCAAAGCCGAAATCGGCCAGCAGGGGGTTCCCGCTGGCATCGACAACGATGTTGGACTAGTAGCACGATCACGTCAAGCCCTCAAATTGTAGATAAAAGCTACGCACCGCTTTGAGGTCACCGTGCACGATCGGGGGTGTCATGCTGTGCAGAACATCCACACCCTCGCAAATGCCTTTAATCTGGAACGAGTCAACATCATATCAAACATTCTCAGAAGACTTGTACATACCAGAGCATAATGATCTACGGTGGGGTACTTTTTTATATACTCGTCCACTGTGCCATTGACCATCCATGGACTTACGACATACCTGATCGAATGACATGGTAAGAGGAGTGAGCAATCATTCAGGCAGAAGAGCTTACGGGAAAGGCCCGTCATTTTGACAGAAACCATAGAAAGGAAGGATATGCTCCCCGCGGTCGGCTTCCCACACACGTTTCCAGATCTCCACCTCTCTCTTGAACCTCTAGAATATGCTGTGAGGATGATATTTCGAGTAGATGGGAGTGATAATGTACCCGAAGCGTTTGAGGCTCGCAGTGAACAGCCCGTAGGATTTTGATGGCTACCTTTTCCTCGTTCAAATAGAGGCCTTCCCATATATCTGCTGATCCCGTTCCCTTGACAGCATATTGCCCGATGCGTTTCACTTCATTGCGTTTAAGGTTCATGTTCGGTAAAAGTAACTGAGACGAATGTTGTATGTGGTACAGGTTGCTTTCCAGACCACGATCTGTGGTTGGAATCTGACCCGGAAGATTCTGCATAACGATGAGTTCATCAGGACTAGTCTAGCAGTGAGTTGAAGTGACCCTTTGCATCAATTTCATGATCTGATTCAGATCTGCAGCCTGCTTCATCTGTGCGACTTGCATGAGCTCCTGCTGGTTCCTGATGTCGCCCAGATACTGCACGATGTCTTCCTTGTCTCGTGTACGGCTCAACTCAAAGTTTGTCTGCCATGTATGAATGGACATGTGAGAGGCGACCTGAAGAGGTGTTAGGACAATTTTGCTAGAGCACGCTTCTGTACCTGTAGTTTGACCAAGCAATCTGAAATATCTGCGTGACATTGCTGGATGGTACCAGCCAGCTCGTCTTGTTTGACGAACAGCTTGACCCTGGACATGGAGCACCACGGCTCCATTCTGTCCAGAATACTTTGAAGGGTGCTGATAAGCAGATCAGTTAATTGATCGGAGGTCAAGTCAGACCACTAACTGGTGGGCACCCGAACACAACCTATCCTGATGATCCGGGGTTAAATTCTGCCCCTCGTTGTTGATGACAGACATGAGACTCAAGCAGCGATCTTGGAGTAGAACGATCCCATTTCTGCGACAAGCTGTTCAGTACTCGGATCTATGGACCATCGAAGATATTACACACTTATTAGCTTCTGCTGTTGCGAGCATGTTGATCAATGCGACCAATACGCCCGCAGCGGGTGCGAGCCATGGCACTGGAGCAAATTGAGCAGCTGTCTGCGCTGCACCTATGATTGTCCGAGCTGCTATATTGGCCATTAATGCCAATATGGTTCAGGATGTGAGAGTGTCAGTTGTAGAAGTTGAAGAAGGGAAGTTGAGGAGGCGCAACCTGCATAATCGCAAGTTGATCGTGAGTTTATATGTTGCTGTGTAATGTGGAATCTGGATTAGCGCTCATGCACATGACGTGCGAAAGATCCTCCACCTAGCTACGGATATGAGAATATAAGAACAATCAGAACTGTGTACTTGGAATTCTTTAGCTTCCAGGGACCCATGATCACCTCGAGCTTCAACGCGGTGCTTAATGGAAGTTCTTACGAAGAATGTTCATGGCGGCGCTGGGATCATCACGTGCCCGGCAGACTTGCTGTGCTGCTTGTTTTAACCCTTGTCATGCACAGGAGTTGTTATCACAATGGCTCGAATGTTCCCTACGTCTGATCCGTACCTGCCGCCCTATAAATCTCTCATAATACAAGGGAATTATCACCCTTCAGCTCCAATTCACATGTGTCTGTCAGTTCCAACGGGTGCCAAGGCTTTACTTCTTTCTTCTGCTCGACAGGCTCTCATACGTAGCCTTCAAGAGTATAACGACGAATGGTTACTTTCCAATTCTGGAACAGGCAATACTTGTCGCAGTAGTTCCGAGGTTGACATCTTGTTGGTCCCTTTTTGTGTATGCGTGTGGGCGTAATGTGATCAATTTGCCCAGCTACCCTCCAACCCCAAATCACCTGGTTGTGTTATTATCCGCGTTTAGAACACACGAGGCCTCAGATCCTGTACCTCTTGATTCCAAAGCAACTCTAGATTCTGTTCCGTCATTGCTTGTTTTGCACGAGTTATCTGCATACTTCTTGCCCATGAATGAAAACAACCCGTATGTATTATTCGCTCTTGCTGTGTGCATCACGTTTTTAGGAAATTCGGTTGTTGTAAAGGCACACTATCGCCTCGTATCTCCAGCTTGTTAGCTACGCGCTGGCGTTGGCAAGTTTCCTCTCCCCGGAATCACAGTGCGTCGGATGGCAGTGAAGTGTCCATCGATAAATCGAGCATTTAATGGCATTTAGAACTCCTATGCGTTTCGCTCTATTTGATTCACAACTTGACCAACTGAAGCTTCCCGTCTTACGAACCCCAACTGTCCCCGTGTTCGACGGAGAAGAGAGCGGCGATGAAACACCTCGACCCGAATCCGTCGCTTTTGTGGCACACAAGTATTTCGAATGGGTGGGCACGTTTGACCGATGTATTACTAATTCATTTTCTTTCGGTTCGCCTTGCTGATCTATTCCATCAGCAGACACTAATTCTTCATCTGATGGAAGTGAAGTACGCCGATGCACGTTCACGTTGCACAAGCAAGGCAGTGACAGTAAATCGGATATCATGTGGCGGTGGTCAGAAGTTCCAGAACGGGCGCACAGCCGCTGTGGGGGACCTGCAATCGCATTTTCCTGGTAACAACGTGGGGGTCCAATCCCGCGGTTGGCTTTGCCTGATATTTCTGAACACAGGATAGATAGCCTTGACCCTTGATCACTGAGAGTTGAATCCGGCCCGCCTCCCCGATCATTTCTATGGTGGAACCAGTCGCTGTCATTACCTGCAGCCGAGTAATAGTCATCTCGTCCAACAGTCCTTAGCTATAGATTGCCCTTGATCACTGAGTGCCAGGGGAGTTGAGTCCTGCCCGCCTCCTCGACTATTGCTATGGTGGAACCAGTCACTGTCCTTTCCTGGGTTTTACCTTATAGTCTCTTGTAATAGTCAGAACAAAGTCAGAATTTTCAAACAGTCCTTATAATTATTAGATGTCCTGTAATAGAGTTCAAGCATTTTTCTATAACTCTACAACACATCCACATAAACATATAAATTCTCGACAGATGGATAGTCCGACATATGCATCGAAAGTACAAAGTCCGTCGGCTTTTTCTTTTAAAATCGATACGCTGAGTCCAGCGGAAACTTCGGCACAGAAAAGTTGGTTTTAGTGCAGTTTTCCCTAGGGACGCGCGAACTCGTGGGACCTTCAAGTAGTGCCGTAACGCTGATGGGCCCGCGCACTTTTGGACACGCATTCCGTAAAGCTAGAAATTCAGCTTAGAAGGTTGCCAACAAGCTTGTAGTGACGGTCACTAGACCGTAACTCCGACCAAACAGAATTTGAAGAGTACTTCACTCTCGACCTCTAAAGTTCAAACAGACTTCGGACTGACTCGACTGCATCTTCCGCTACTCAAAGAATATGGAAGACTCAGAGGAGCTCTCGTTCGTCTCTTTCATTCTGAAACCAGGTTCATCTCTCCATCCAACGTTTCTTTTGGCTGTCGATGCTGCATTTGCACTCCTGTTCTTCGTCTTCCTTTGGTCAGCGTACCTAACGAAAGGCAATCCGCACTTCTTCGTTTTGATGGGTATCCAGCTCGCTCTGTGGGCGAGCGTAAAATGGTACGTCATGTTGGGCATACAAATGTCGAGCGTTGAACAGTAAACTGGAGTCAATATATAGGTTTGTGCAAGAGCTTAACAAAGTTCCTCCTGCGAATGTGACGACTAGTATGGAGACGAGTACAGACAAAAAAGAACAATAATCAACGATTTATGGTATACACGACGCAGAGCAAATTATAGAGCTCTTCATCGACGTGCCTTGTCATTTCCTTCATGCCAACGTTTCATTCGTTTTGCGCTTTCTTGAGCCAGCGCAAACACTACAGACCGGTGAGTAAGCGTCCAAGCCACAGTTCTCGGCAGTACTGACATTCCCTTTCTGTACCATCAAGCCCTTCTCTGAATGACTGTGCAGTATCAGTAGAAGGTCCACCTCCTCCTGCAGGGCCAAGTGCCGCGAAATGCTGCGCTTGATCAATCACCTCCAGCAGACGCCCTTTGAAGGCCTGAACGAAACAACTATTAACAATATCGCACAACGTATGCAGACAATGTACCTTTGTCAGCATTTCTGATATACCATTTGCCTGCTCTTCGCTCAAACTTATAGCCGGTCAGACATGCTCCCTGAAATCAACGGCGAGACTCACATATCCATGACCATCTTTCCAAAGCCGTACCATAGTCCACCTGCACCAACCAAGTTGGATAGCTTTACGCTTCGAGGCTCAGCCTTGAGCGCGTTTCTTACTCGTGTGCCAAAGGGTGAAGGGATAGTGAAGTCAGCCCAGTCACTGAAGATCCGTTTATTCTTGTGCCTACTGGATATGCCTTAGACGCACGAGAACAACATGATATAGGCTAGCCATATCGGTATTGGAGCCTTCGTCAATGATTTGATCTAAGATAGCTTGAACAATGATGATACGCGTGAAAAGGGCAATTGAGACGCGCACATCACGGTCAGATCCACCTGCGAGGTGACCCATGTCAGGGATGTCGACTTTGAAGGTGCATTGTATTTTCTAGGCCAGACCTTGAGTATTAGAATATCAAGTACATCACACAGACCTGATTTTCAGCTAGGATGGCATCGATGGAAAAGTAGTCGTTATCCATGATGGTGGCCGCGTTCGTCAAAACGCGTTTGTGGCTGTCACTTTGGTACAGGCTGACACTCAGTACTCAGTACTCACGCGCACGGTTGTTTTAACCACCAACCCTTCTATCATGAACCACATACGTCAAGCATTACTTTCAGCAAGACGACCGGTTCGTCCGACTTCACTGGCACTCCTCCGCTGTCGGCGAACATTCTCCTACACATCGCGACTACAAGCCTCAGAGAATGAAGACACCTTCCTTTCGCAATTCAAGAACACTTCAATATTCGGGAAACTTGCGGATAAACCAGATGCTTTGATGGCGCTCCGAGATTTTGCGGAACTCATGAAGGCTCAGGGTCAGCCGCCAATTGTGTAGTCATTCACACATGTTTATGCATTTTGCTTCCAGGTATTGACGCAAACACCCCACCCTCGACATTCCAGATGATGAAGTTGGCTGCAAACTCGGAGTTTAGAGAAGCAGCGCAGAAAGTTGTCTCTGAGTTACAAAAGGCGGGTGTGGACCTCACTTCGCAGGTGAGCAAATTCTTCTCGGAGGTTTACGCTCTCGCCGAATTCCTTTTGCCAGGATACTATACAGGAGCTTATGGGCCTGTCCAAGAAGGCGGGAGGGGATTAAAATGGGCTACTATAGCGTAAAATAGGTGCCTAATAGTACTTCCTAGTCTCTGATATAAGCGACTTGCTGGCCTGTGCCTTGTGTTGCAATTGTCAATCCTTTGGCCGTCACGGTCATGTCAGATGAGGCAGGACCTTCCAGCACGATACGTTCCGAAGCCCCAGAAAGACCCCTGCCATCTACACCATTCTATTCTATCGAATATCCGGGTTATGTCAAACCCGAATCGGTTCCGTTGGCGGTGAGTAATCTCGGAGGGCATTCACGCCTAGAAACCGCGTTCAAACGCACCGCGGCCAAGAATGAGGCGCTTCTTGAGCTCAATCTACGACCAGGGAATCCATTTGCACACCCAATACCGGGCGACATAGTCAGCACCAACAATATTCTATTGAAAGTCGTGAGACGGAAACGAAGGAACCCAAACGGAGAATGTGTTGGGGAGTTCACTGCAGAGGCGGTGGGTGTTATCCCGAAGACTGCACGGTTTCGCAGTGAGTCCAACTCACGTTTACAAGTGTCTCACTAATCTGTCTGCAACTATGAGGTATGGCGGATTATCAGTTTCAGCCTGACATGAATGATCCTTTGGCCCAGCTGCGCCTTGCAATGGATCGAATGGATGGTAAGCAGTGTTTCAGTCGGTCGATCCGCAGACCTCATATTCCGAAGTCGATGCAATCCGACAATATTCGATTCCGGAGGAAAAAGAGGACTATGTGATTCCAGCGTCCATCCACCCACCCGAGCTAGACCCAGCATTGGCAGAGCAAAGCGAGCAAACTTCTGGACCTCGCAGTAACTTGCGCTTATTCCCTCCTCCGCTGTTCAGCCGTCAAAACGTACCGCAAAACTACAAGCACGTGATTCTGCTCGTTCTACTCTAAATTGCTGACCAGCCAGCAGCTTCAAAGCAAACCCTGCTTCGATTGTGACGTCCCTCATCAATGAAGAAACTGGTGAAGAACGCAAAAGGCTTATCAATAAGGGCCGATGGAAAGGTCATGGGCCAGTGACGATCACTTTCAGCGATCCCAATGTTTGACTTGTCCTCTCATACCTCTGCAGCAATTTCTGATTCTCTGCAATAGGTTCCTGAGGGCCCTCCTCCAACAGTTGAAACTGGGCGCACTCAAGCTAATAGTGAACTTTTGAATCGAATACTGGAAGTGAGCTGCTCTTTATCCCTCTTGATTGATTGCTTGCTCATTTGAGAAGTTCATGAATGAACGTCCTGTGTGGACTCGTGCTGCCCTTTACAACCAATTTTCGCCCGCAGAATTGAGAGAAATACACAAGTACGCACTACATCATGCGATCACAAAAGTCTAACCAGCGACTACAGCTCGAAAGTCATCATGCCTTTGGCCGGATATATGTTCTCAGATGGACCATGGCGAGATGCCATGGTTCGATTTAAATATGACCCTCGGAAAGAATTGGATGCCCGAATGTGAGTTTTGTACGTATTGCTATTTGCGAACACTCACTGTCAAGGCCTGAAGATATCAACGGATATATTTTCGGAATGCCAACCACCCCATGGCACGGCCTTCCGTGGTAGCGCGTCGGCAAGAGGGCAGGTCAAGTACCACATACATCAGCAGGTCCATCGAGCAAGAGGAGTCGTTTGAGGCCGATCGACGGTAAGCTTTCATAATTGTCACTGTGTCTGGCTCGATGTAAACGATCACTAGTAAATCACACATATTTGACGGGAAAACTGTCACTAAAGAGACAGCCGCGTTCCAATTATGCGATATTCACGACCCTATGTTGAAGGAGATGGTGGAAGATGATGAAGACCTCCGGGAAGTCTGTGACGTGAGTCGCTGATGATGTGAGAATGGGTTTTCATTGATCATATGTATTGGTAGGAACGAGATGGGTGGTATAGCGCACAGGCACTGGAGAGAATCAAGACCATCCTCCGACACAAGTTTTTCTCACTATTGCAAGGGTATGTGGCAACAGAGGAGGAATGTCAAGCCCTTCTGGAACAGGATGCCTCTGGCAAATCACAAACCACTCGTATGAAACGCCTTAAATTCGGAAAACATAACATGGCGAAAGGGGCTCTGCGACCAGAAGATGCAGCAGTGCGTATTTACAGGTCTTATCTCACGATACTCTCTTATCCCTTCCTCTCTCTCACAGGCTGCGAGACTGCAAGCAACTCTGGATCGGAATGCCAAAACTCTCCTAGCGACTCGACGGGAGATGTATGGCGGTCGAAATTCGCAGACTGCAGACAATTCACGATAATGTGATGCGTGTGGTGTGGTATTTCGATAACAAAAGCCATATGCAATAGTCGTGGATGATGCACTGTTATATTTACAAGTGGTTGAGATGATCTGTAGACAAGGGGCTATAGGCGATTAATGTGAAGCGCATCCGAATCATCTGATCCTTTTCGAAATCCAGATTTATTGTGCAACGTGATATTGATACCCCACCTTGTAACGTACCCGTGAGAGCGTGAGGAGCATCTGGAGATATTCGGCGAACTACTCAAGCTCATGCAGCTCCATCATAATTGGGACCCGAATGGCGATAAGGCATCGCGAGCGCTGCGGACAGAAGACATGCCGGTATTCAATGCAACTAGTACTAGGTTCCTTCGGCCTAAGGTAAGACTCAGGACTTGCAAACGTTCAATCCCAAATCGGGCACCGGCCGAATCCAATTTGATCGGCCGAGCAACTTTGTTTTAACAAAACCTGCTTTAAAGGCTGGATGGTGACAGATATCTACCATATCATTTATCCCCACCACCACCGTTTATCTCAACATCATGCCTGGTGCAATCACTGGTCCTCGAACACTTTATGATAAAATTTGGGACGATCATGTCGTGTGAGGCTTCCCCTGTCCGTGTATTAGACATATACTGATTAACAGATAGAGATGTGAAGGAAGACGGCCTTGCCCTCATTTACATCGACCGGTACGCAAACAGACTTTCTATCTCATTGATGTGAACTCACTCTGTCACAGGCATCTTGTCCATGAGGTCACGAGCCCTCAGGCATTTGAAGGCCTGTAAGCACAATCATCAGACCCGCCTTCGTTACAATAGGCTAACAGGACTCCCTTAGGAAGAATGCTGGTAGGCCTGTTCGTCGTCCAGACTGTACTCTTGCCACTGTGGATCATAACATTCCGTATGTTGAACGACACATCTTTGCTTTGCATAGGCTCACATTGCGACAGCACCATTTCCCGGAAAAGCTACAAGTCTGTGGATACCTTTGTCGCCGAACCCGACTCGCGTGCGCAGGTTATGCAATTGGAAGAGAACGTGAAGGATTTTGGGTTGACTTATTTCGGGCTATCTGACAAGCGCCAAGGTTTGAACTAATGCAGCTGTGTGCGTGAACGCTAAATGACACGGTACTTTCCAGGTATCGTGCATATCATTGGTCCCGAGCAAGGCTTTACGGTAAGTCTTCATATCTATCAGATGTATGTAACAGCATAAACTTGGTTGAACCTTACCAGTTGCCTGGCATTACTTGCGTGTGCGGTGACTCACACACCTCAAGTATGTTCAACATGCTACTTTTCGGTGCGAGTTGACGTTGATCTGATTGCAATAGCACATGGTGCCTTTGGTTCCCTGGCATTCGGTATTGGAACCTCCGAGGTGGAACATGTTCTTGCTACCCAAACTCTCTTGCAGAGGAAAGGCAAAAATATGCGCATCAGCGTCGATGGTGAGCTCGCCGAAGGCGTTGGCTCAAAAGATGTCATTTTACACATCATCGGTGTCATCGGAACTGCTGGTGGTACCGGAAGTGTTATCGAGTACGCCGGCTCGGTATTCCGCAACATGAGCATGGAGGCTCGCATGAGTGTTTGCAATATGAGCATCGAAGCCGGTGCTCGTGCAGGCATGGTTGCACCCGACGAGATCACTTTTAC